TAAAAACATACCAAAAGAACAACAACAAAAAAAACTAGTCTCAAATCGCATAAGAATGCATTTATTGTACATAACTGTCCCCCAGATGTATAAATGGATGGGACAGGTAAAATTTGGGGCAGCTTTTGAAAGCAGCGCACAAATATGCATTACGACTAAACGAGAAATAGTGTGAAGGGTTTCCCCCAAGTGGGCGACGACTCAGTGTTTTTTTTCCTCGATCTATAGGAATGCACAAACAAAATCTAAACAAAAAAGAAAAACGTGCGATTTGTTGCTCGACGTTTTTTATATTAATATTTTGAGCTTCCCCAAAAGTGCAACTCGTGCTGCTTGTTTTTTTGTCGTTTAATTTTTTATTTATGTTGTAGCTGCTTCATGCGTGCCACTAAACCAGTGACGCTTCGGAATCCACAGAACGCTAAATATACAGATGCAGATACAGCTAACACTTTAGATAGAGATACAGATACAGATGCAGAGGCACACAAGCACAGATATATCTTACTTGGGTGCGATTTAGTCATGTAAAAGTCATAAATTAGCTTGAGCATCACATTTTATGGCCTGACCAAAAGCGTGTGTGAGGTGGTGGGGGGAGGGGAGAAAGACTGTGTTTATTATTTAGCGGCTTGATTATTTGCTCAACCCCAACCACCTACCGCCATTCACCGCCCCCGATCGGGAGACATCTTTTGTAAGCGCAAAAACGTAATTAGGTGAAACTGTTTAAATACACGTGGGAAACAATTCCAATTGCAGTTGTGTATACTAAGCAATTTGTGTGCCACTTTTTATACACACACACAGAGAGAGAGACATTTTTATTGTGCATTCAATTTCCCACACACTGCGGTTTTTGTGGTCATATCAAATATCCACACCCATTTCCATAGTATACAATTCAACTAAGTAGCCAACTACAGTTGCAGGTATTTTAATGTTCCACATCTCACGTGCTTGGTGTGATCTCAAGTAAACTGCAAGTCAGTTATAAGTCATATAGATAGCTGCAGCAGAAATGATCATTCCAATTCAATTGTAATTGCTCTCATTAATTGAAAATAAAAAACATACACATCGCAGGGGCTTGGTATTGAACAAATTAATAACGCATTAACGTCAAGACGAGCGTGCAAAATAAAAAATAAAACTAATGTGTGAGGTAAAGGTACATTTCACTGCCCTGTACTTAAGTTTTAGAGGAGCTTAACGTGCTGTAAAATCTGGTCATAAATACTTTTACCATTGCTCTACCTAAAACTCACAATTTACAGACTTTGTTTGTTTTAAATTAGCGCTTGGCAATAAAAACTCTGTGTTCAAACAGAAAATTGGTGTGGACATGTTTTTTAAGAAAATAGCGCCTATTATGATGATTTTAGTTTGTTTTAGTCAAACTTAGCTACATTTTTTAAAAACATAGAAAATAAATATTCTACGGATAAATTAATACTCGTAATAGGCTTCGTGATGAAAGTGAAAGCTAAAAGCAGTTTCGGATCTTTTATATCCACTCATAGGGTATCTCATAGTCGACTCCAATTGGCATATAAAAAACGATCGCATACATATTACGAGCTAATTTTTATACTTATATGAACCGCATGCCGCCAGCTCATTACGCATTTTGTTTATTTTCTGTTGCCTGTTGAATTTCTCCGCCTTCAGCTCTTTCTTTCTCTTTAACTTTTTTTTTTGCTATTTATTATTGTATTCCACTTTTTTTTTGATGTCAATAAAATAAATAAATGCGCCAAGCAAAAGCAAAAGGCGCTAACGAATGCTTGGAAAATCAAAAGAAACATATGATTTATAATAATTAATTACCTCAAAGTGAAATATTCACTTGTTGTGTTCTTGAAAAATCAAATAACAATTTGTGGTTGATATTTGGCAAATTTTCTCTTTGATATTCGTTTAGCATTGGCTTTGAAACTTGTCGCCTCCGGTTATTATTCTTAATTAAAACCATCGGCATTTCAGTCTGCTGCGACATTGGAATGTATTTCAAGAGTAAACGAAACGCATGACTCATCACCTCATCTATCTCTACCTCTATAAGCGTGTGCATAACATTCTTAACGATGCACTGGCCAGAGAGAATCATTCAATGACCTTGAGAATTTTGGCAAATCGCAGTGCAGAGTGTGAGCATTATACTATATATAAGAAAGAAAAGCCCCAAAAAAAATTTAAATGCAAATTTGTCGGTGACAGAATTCTTAAATTGCATCTAATTACAGCTGTCAAAAGAGAAGTGACAGATAATCATATACCCTGTAGACACTAAAAGGGGCCGATTACTTATAGTCATATTTTTTATGTGTGAAAGGCTTAAGCCTTGAGTATACTCAGAGAGCTGTCGGCTTTGAATGGTACATTTATTTTATTAATTTTTCCGATTACATTTGGATATATTATATATAAAGAAAGCTGAAGAATCTCAATATAAATAATTATGCCTTCATGTTCATCATGTCACAATAGACAGTTAGTTAACAAATGTTTTTTGTCCCAGCAGAAAAAAGGATTTTTATCTCTCATAACTTGAATTAAGTAACTAACGTAATTGTGAACGTCCGCATAAACGTCAATATTATTATCGTTATGGTAAGCTATTTATAGACACAGTACGTAAGTGGGTTGATAATCTATTTATTGAATGGGTATGGGGTAGACAACTGGCAGCCAAATGTTATCGCCAGCCATCAATTCGGAAAATTCCCTAACAACTAGAATGTTTTGAAAAAGAAAAATATGGAAATAATACGTAGAAAATGGGAAAATTTCGTGTTCACATCGTTTGACAGAAAATAATCATTGACACAGAAAATGAGTTTTTAAATCCAAAACATATGTCGGAAGCGACAACCAAAAATAAAAATGCACCAATTCACACGTAGAGCCACAAGATGCAACTGCAACTGCAGCGCTAGGAAGACGCACGAGACCGAAAGAAAAACTCAAAACTAAAACTAAACGCTAGGCGTATAAACAAAAGTCCAAAGATACAAAAGTATCTGCGACGTAATTTCAAACAACTTAAGAGTGCATTGCAGTTATTAACACGCCGCGGAGTTCAAACTGACTGCTGACAGCTATTTTCAAGGACTCTTCCACAAAATGTATATACATTTCACTTACCATACACACACACACACACACACACACACACACACACATACACACATATGTTGTTTTTAAAATAGGAAAAGTCATTGGGCTGCTGCTTGTGCGGTTCGGGTTTTGGGTTCAGCCATAAAATTCTCAATTTTATAAACATAAGAAAAGTAAGCAAAAGATGCGCGTGTCTGACGACCCAGCCAAAAACACATTTAGGAAACAACAACACACTCGCACACACTCACACCCAAACAGTCAGACAAAAAACACAAAAAAAAAAAAATAGAAAACCAAAAAATAACTCAACTGAAAGAAAAAGTGGCGAATAGAGACAAAAACCCAGTGCGGATATCTTTTGCGTGTTCAAATCACGTCGCAGACAAGGCACGTCGTCTGGCCAGGGCGGGCGGAGTAGAACGGGGCAGGCATTGCAAACGGAACTCACCAGATCCCAGACTCAGAAGACATTTATATAAACTTATGTACGTAATCCTATATGGTATTGTCCTGTCTGTGCTGGAGGCCTTTGCCCTCTATTCCTTTGTCTCTCGCTCACACTTCATTCAAAATGGAAAGTGTTTTACACGAGAAACGGGGGGCGGTTAATCTGTTTTGAGTTTGTGATTGTCTCTTCTAAATATTTTTAAAGACAAATAAATTTATTTTAAATTGCAAAGAATATTACGGCTTTTTTTTATCGATTTGTTAATGATCGTTCTTTGAAATTAATCATATTGATCGATTTTTTATACATTTCAGTTCTTATATAGACTAGTAATATCTTTAGTTTAATGTAACCATATTCAACTTTAATCAAGCTTTGTTATTATTTTCAAATGTTCTTTTTAGTTTTCATATTAATTTTTAGTCTGAATTATACAGACATCTGCACTCTGTTTGACTTTTTGCTCTACAACAATGCAGATTAGTTACGTTTATCTAACGAATTAAATTCTGTTGCAATGCCAACGACTTGTAAATGTCCCCGCAGCGTTCTCTGGGCTAGCCTTTGTTTGACTGATAAACTCATGTAGACACATACATATATTTATATAATAATGAAATATATCTAACAAAAACATCCGCTTTAGTTTTACAATGTGCCGCTTTTATCAACCACACAAAATTCAAAGCATTACATTTGATAGTACTTAAATATGTACATATATTTCGTTTCGAGTCTCTAATCAAATTAAATTCTGAAAAGAAAGGAAATCCCGCTCTCAAAATGTTAATGCCATACGCTGATTCTGGGAAACAATCATATCGTCAGCCCATCCTCTGCACACTGTTAAGCAGAATTTCGTTTTGGTATTAATTTTTTATAGAAACTGGTCCCACAACTTTGTGTTTTTTCATATGCTAAATACTTATTATTAACACCCTTTTGAAAGCCAGCGCTAACCTGTTTGATCAGATCATTTATAAACAAATTTGTTCAGTAACAAAATCCAATAAAAAATAAGCAAAATGGGCGAGATTCCGTTGTAAGGCCAAACAACTACTTGACTCGACTACGATAAAAGGTCATGAGTTGAAAAATGCGCCAACTAAATTTTTGCGTATTAATTTCTTAATTAGTTTTTCCCCAACTTGCTGGCAGAAACCTTACTCTTTTACTGAGTTGCAGAATTTTGTTATCACAAGTAACTTTAAGCATGCTTAAGTAATTTTTCTGAGATAGAGTAGATAAATCTATAATAGCTTGCTTTTAAAACTTTTAACATATGCTTTTTAAAATATTTCTGCTAAGCTGTATTTAAAATATTTTCACTTTAAAAATGAACCTAAACAACTTTTTTTTACATGCATGGTAATATAATTAACGAAGAATTACAATGAGAATATATATATATAATTAGTAAATTTATCACTTTAGCAGTTATCAAGAATATAATTTTATTTAATTATAGTGCATAATATCTCACTCTATGAGCTCACATATATAATTATTTAGATATTCGCAGCTTCGATCATTCATACGTACAGTTCCATTAATATTTTGTAACTCAACGCAACGCTCATCTCCGCTGCAGTTTTCTGGTTTACCAATATGCCAGTTAAAATATGTTGAAATTTCGCCACGACAAAATGAGTGATATTGATGTTTAACATCAAGGTCAGTTATATCGATCCAATAGTTGTTTCGCCAGTCGATGTTCAGATCCTCGACCATCGTATCGAACTCAGCCTCGTCTCTAATACCATACAAATGCGAGTGCAGCTGATGACACCTATGAACAGCTTCATACCAACTGAGCTTATTTTGCCCCTTTGTTCTGTGATAGAATCTGCCATTGAATCGCTTAAAGTTTGCGTCACTTATTGTTATTTCATCTTTTGATTTGTTTAGTGTCTCTGAAGTACGACTGTTAATATTCGAATTTGCGGCCCCACAAGTTTCTATGTCAACCATCTGGCTTAGTGTTGGCTGTAACTTCTCGGTACAATATTTGTTACATTGGTGGTCACAGCGATTACTCTTAAATGCAGAAAATTTATATAGTTTATCATATAATTAGTTTCCATTCAGGCTGCAACACTTACCGAACTTCCTGCTAAACTACTAATGGTTAGTATCATTCCCAAGAGCATCAAATATTGCACAATTTTCCAAGTCATGATACTCAATCTAAATGTGCATCGATACTGAAACCCAATTTTTGTTTCCACCTAGGTACGACACTAAAGCTTGGTAATGTTATATTAATTTAATTTGATATGCCTGAAAATACCCGCTTGAAACTCTCCTCTTCGTAGAGGATACATTTTTTTCTTAGAGCTTAGTAGGTTATCGATTGGCTATAGGAGAAAAATCTAGATATTTTAGTTTCGGTTGTTACCTCCAAAAGATTTCATTATTGCTGTTCTCGCTTTCGTAAGAATAAGGGTCAGTTACTATCTGATAGTCAGAGAAATCTTGATCAGGATAATATATTTTCACAATCATTATTTGAATGCATTATCTTTTTATTGATATTTTCTCTTATTTAAATAAATTGTATTCATCCCAGTTAGTGCTTATTTGCGTTATTACAATTGACAGATAAAATGATTTAATGTGTCGCACCTTGTGACACTCATGTGTATATCTCCATTCTCTCCGTTTAGCTCCACGCAGCGGTTAAGGTTAGACTTGGTATTCGGTTCGTCTTTATGCCAATTGAAGTAAACAGCCTCATTGCCCGTAGTTAATGAATTAAAGCTCTCATTCGATACAAGATTGTTAGTGTCTGTCCAGTAATGATTTATATCCTGCAAATGTTCGACTACGGCATCATAATTTTCGGCAGATTCCAGACGAATCAGATGGGCTCCGAGGCGATGACATGCTTGCGCAGCTCCAAACCAACTAACTTTTTCAGTTCTTTCAATATAATAATATGTGTTTTCAATTCTTTGAAATAATGTAGATGGCATGTCCCTTTGTATAAACACTTGCTTATTCACAGCGCAAATCCTTGAAAGTTGACTGCAATCGCATTGAAGCTCCGATTGGTTAATATCACAAGGCTTTGGAAAATACTAGTTAGTATTTAAATTATTTATGGGGTACGAGCAGTTTACTTACTAAAGTCCCCAAAGAACTCATTACAGTGAATATTAAAAAAAATATTAGGCATTGTTTCATCTTAAATTTTTTTTTTTTTTTTTTTTATATTTTGTTTATTAAGAAATCTGGTATCCTGTTACTCTATGTTAGCAACTTTTATCAGAGTGACATAATAACTTAGCTTAGCGATGATTGTGGTTTTACAATTAGTTATACAATTAGGTTAACAGATTACAGAAACATATTTTGGTGTAATTAACGAAGCTTGTCACCTATACATAACGATCGATTAGGTCGGTTGGGTAGGTCCTCTTCAGTCGCCTTCTTCTTCGCCTCCTTAGCAGGCTCCTCGCCAGGATGTTTGGATGGTTGTGGAGCTTTGTTGAGTAGCTCGCTGCTTGCCTGTTGACTACGTCGCCCACCATTGGAACCTTGAGGTCCTTGGCGATGTCGCGTGTGCGAATATACCATTCGGCTCCAGTTATTTTGCGCAGGGTTTTGGCCTGAATGATGCGAATTTTGTTCAGGTGTGTTTTTGCAGCTATACCGTAAACTTGAAGCCCGTAACGCCACACTGGGGCAAGGATTACCTTGTAGATTAGGACCTTGTTTCGGAGCGAGAGTTTGTTTTTGGAGTTGAGGAGCCAGCTCATTCGCCTTATCTTAGATTTGATGTTGCTCGTTACTGCAGAGACGTGCTTACTAAATGTAAGTCGTCTGTCGAGAGTGACACCTAGGTACTTGTGTTGACGATATTGCTCTAGAAGCTCACCATGAAGAAAAAGTCCGGGGCATGAGTCCTTGCGTAGAGTGTGGGTAACCGTGGCGCACTTTCCAGGGTTCACTGCGATGTTCCATCTACAAGCCCAGTTTTCAAATCGCTTGAGGTATTCCTGCAAGAGGTCAGTTGCCACGTACACACATTTGTTTTTTGCAAGGATTGCCGTGTCGTCAGCAAACGTGGCCACCAGAAGGTCCTGCCGATCATTCCGTCTGCTTGCATTTGCTGTGGGCATGTCATGTGTAAACAGGCTATATAGCGTGGGACCCAAGACGCTGCCTTGTGGAACGCCCGCTTTTATGCGTTTGGTTTGAGAGGCTACTCCATCCTGCACCACTTGAAAGGTTCTCTCAGTTAGGAAGCTCGCAATGGTGCTAAATAGCTGCGGATTCAATTTGTCCTTTATCTTGGAGAGGAGTCCTGCGTGCCACACCCGGTCGAAGGCTTCTTGGATGTCGAGGTATGCTGCCACCACATACTCTTTCCTGTGAAAGCCGTCCAAAATATAATTTGTGACCCGATGTAGTTGCTCAGGGGTACCGTGTTTGAGTCGAAACCCAAACTGGAACTTCGGGATCAAGCGTTTTATTTCCGGGGTATTCAGGACCCTTCTGAGGATGCACCTTTCCAGAATCTTACCAAAGGCAGGCAGGAGGCTGATGGGGCGATAGGATCCCAGTTGATTAGGGGGCTTTCCGCTCTTGTGCAACATGATTATATGTGCCTTCTTCCAAGCCACTGGAAAGTAACCTAGCCGAAGAGCTGCATTAAAAATGGCGACGAGAAAAAGCACCGCCTTGTATGGCAGTAGCTTGATTGTCTGGTTGTCCAACCGATCTTCCCCAGGGGCTTTGCTGCTTTTTAATCTCTTCATCTCCTGCTCTACTTCTTGGAAGGTGATTGGCGATACAGGGAGTGACATTTGGAGTGGCGCCTCCAGGATTTGCGCGACTCGCTGTATCCTTCCATGCGATGCGGTCTCAAACGGCTTGAAGCGCTCCTCCAAGTTGCAGGCAAAGGCTTCGGCTCTGTCCATTGGTGATCTGGCCCAGGTGTCATCGGGAAGTCGAACGGGGAACTTTGGCGCAGCTTGCCGCTTGTATCGACTGCTAAGTTTCCACAGCGCGAATTTGGAGCTCTCGTCTGCCGTTGCTTCCTCCAGCATGGTGTCTGTGGCATTTCTTTTCGAGATAATCAGCTCCTTCCTGACCCTGTTAGCAATACGACGATAGATCCTGTCAATCGTGGGGTCCTGGGTACGGACATACTCCCTCCTCAGTCGCTTTTTTAGGGCGAGAAGACCTTCCAATATGGGGGAAAACGTCCTTGGCCGCTGGCTTGTAGGGGCTGAGTAGATATGTGCGGGCGCAGCGTTGGCGGCTGCGGCATGTACTTGGTCCAACAGGGTTTGTACTGCAGCGTCGACGTCCTCAACTGACAGAATCTGCGTGTTTAGGTTGATCAAGCTATTTAGTTCGGCCTTAAATCGTTGGATGTTCGACCCAGGGAGGACAAGCCTGCGCTTTTTTGGGATCCTTTGTGCAGCCGTGTTGATCGTTGTGAGGAGTGGCAGATGGTCGGAAGATAGATCATACTCTTCGCGAACCGATAGTACGCTGTTGGGGATGCCCTTGAATATAAAAAAGTCGATACAGGAAGGCGTACTTTGCCGGTTGTACGGAAAGTGGGTAGGTCTACCGGTGGCCAGTACCTGGGCTGAGCAGGGAGTGAGCGCCTCATGGAGCGCAGTGCCTCTGCTGTCAGCTCTGTAGTTTCCCCACAGTCTGTGCTTAGCGTTGAAGTCGCCTCCAACGATGAATTTGGGGCCAAGCTGGCCAAACAGGGAATCAAATTCCGCTCGGTTCCAGGGGATGTTTGGTGGTAGGTATGCTGCCGCAACGAGGATTTCGCCCAAGGGAGTCTCCACCATGATAGCAGCCAGCTGTGTGTCGCTGGAGGTCACTGTGTGTAGATGGTAGTGTGCTAAATCCTGCTTTGCCAGCACTACAGCACCACCTCTGGCTCGTCCTGTAGGGTGATCCGCACGGTAGCAGACGTACCCCTCCATTGTTAGGTACAAGTTTGTGTGCAGATGTGTTTCTGAGATGAGCATGATGTCTACATCATGCTTTTTCAGAAAAAGCTTGAGCTCGTTAGCATTTTGGAGGATGCCACGAGCGTTCCACGATCCGAGACGTAACTGGGTAGCCATTATTTGCGGCTTTTTGGGAATCTAAGCTGCGGGGAACCTTGCGCATCCTTTAGCTCTTTAATGCTAACCAGAATGGTTGCAACTGCGGCATTCAGTGCTGCAATGGACTGCTGGAGGTTTTGAAGGATGCCTCCAAGGGAAGCGTCTTGCTCCTGAGGTCCTTGCAGTGGTTGTTGGAGCTGCATTGGATTGACGGTGGGCTGAAGAGTGCGCGCTGGGGGTTGGCGGACTTGTACATGATGGCCTGGCCGTAGCGCATCAGCATACGACAGGCCCTGTTGCACAATTCGGGAAGGTACGAACTGCTGAGTGGTTCTTCGTGTATTTTGAGGATGGCTATATCGTGTAGGAGGGGAGACATTGATGGCCGGCTGCCTGGCATTTAGTCTCACCTGATAGCTTTTGCATCCTTTATAGGAAGCAGCATGGTTTCCCTCGCAGTTGGAGCATCGCAGGTCTGCCACTGTTTTGGCCTGGCACTGCTCGGAGTTTGTCCAATGGGACTGACCGCACCTACCACACTTGGGCTGTTTGAGACAGTAGTTTTTGGTGTGGTCGAACTCGAAGCAGCGGAAACACTGCCTTATACTATTGTTCTTCCTCGGAAGCTCAATAGTGACCCGTTGGCGGCCAACCTTGTTGAGCCGCAGCGCTTCCCTGTTGTTAAGAGACTGCTTGAGATCGACAAACCAGAAGTTGCGACTTGGAAAGTCGTTGGTGGAGTCTGCATCACTTGTTGGCTGTCTGGCGCCCGGGTTGTAAAGGTTCGTCACAATATGGCCGTGCGATGTAAAGGCAGCTTCAATCTGGCTTCTGGGAGTGGAAGCGGCCAGATTTTTAACCACAACGCGGTATGGTCTGTCTTCCTTTAGGCAGAAGTGGGTAAATTGCACTCTCACTTCAGTGAGCTTGCGGACAATTGCTCTGTGGGTGTCGGCATCTTTGGCGTAAATTCTTAGATAGCCAGAGGGAGAGACCTTGAATTCATAGGCGTCTGCGCCCACTGCCTGATCTATGGTTCGCTCCATTGCGACAATATCGCTGACTCCAGGGACTGTTATCGGCCTGGGTTTGGAGATCTTTTTCGCTGATTGTTGTTGGTCTGTGACTGGAGGCGCTTCGTCGGCAGTGTCCATCTCGCCGTCATCGATTACAGAGGCGTCTTCCTGAGGCTCAAGGGAGGCATATCTGTTGCTAATTGCCGAAGCGGTACTGGGAGTTGCGGGCTTAGCTCCAGCGCGGCTGGTGTTGCGGTTATTTAGTTGCTTCCCTTTTTTTACGCCTTCGGATAATAATGTAGTCCCACGCCGTTTTTTTGCGGAAACCGTTTGCCAATCTACCAGTGGCTCTTCGAAGGCTAGCGTAGCACCTGCGTTCTTTATGGGAGGCAGAGGGGGGTTTGTGACACAAGAACCAGCTGCCTGGGTGCCATAAGGGGTGGACTGCAAGGTCGGATTGGCGGCTTTGGGGCGGGTCCCGATGGGCTCTAAAGCGGCGCGGCTTGTGCCTGTTGAGGCAGATGTCCTGCAGCCGCTGCTGGATGACGCTGTGGTTGTGGTGGTTGTTGCTGTCGTTGTGCTGACAGTGCCGTGCTGTTGCGGTTGCCAAGTCGAGCATTGCTGGGTACCGGCTGACAGCGAGGTGGAGGCGCCGTTCCGGTTTGCACTACTGGCGAGCACGTTGTTGTAATATTGGTAAAAATCTTCCAGTGGCCTGCTTCCGTCGAGGCGATCGACATTAGCGGCTATATTTGTAGGGGATATTATTGAGCTGTTCGGCAGCGGGTAGATTGGCGAATGAATTTCTTCGTTGTTTTGGGGTCGGTTGTTTGTAGCCATTGTTCTTTACTTTGTTATAATTTTTTCCCCACAGGGAGAAAAAAGAATAAAAAATAAAAACAAAACAAGTTTTTTACACTTAATTACAAAAATAACCCGTATTTTTGTAACAAGTGATTGATCACAAATTGTGACTTTAGTGTCAGCACTGTCACTGCAGTGACTGTTTTGCCAGCACTATCAGTGCAGCTGCAAGCTGAAAGCTCTCTCGCGAAAGCTTTGCTGCACTCGCGCACACACACACGCACTTGAGTTGCGATCAGCTGAGCGCAGCTTAAGTTTTGCAAGAACTTGTTCTCACGCACTGCACGCGGTAATTTTTTTTGTTAAAATATTGTTAATTTGTATAACACTCCGGCTGCCAGAGGCAGCAGTTGCGTATAGTTTACCCACTATAAGCGGGATTTGTATGGATTGCCCTGGGGCGGGCTTTATACAGTGTCAATGTCACTTTCTTGGTTTATGCCTGCTGCCAGCGGTGCACTAACGCGCACACACACACGAGACTGCAATTTTCACGTCCGATCTCCAGAGAAACACAAACGTAAGTGTTTCATCTTAAAAGCAACGTTACTAAATTCTAACATTTTGGCTCTTAAACGTGTAACAAACTAAACTAAACGATATGGTATGGAATCGAATAGATTTTAATGTGCCATAAGATTTCAAATCAAACAATTTAATTTCATTTAGAACGCTTTCAAACATTAGACCGTTACTTTTACAACTGCACTACTATTGAATTCTGTTAGGTAGGGGAATTGTAAGTTTAGATGTGTACTTATAAAATTTCACATAGTACCAATCAATCAATGTTTCTATCAATTTAGAAAATTGAATTTCATATGTGCTCTTGACCCATGGCCTATAAAACAAACAACAAGCTTGTGGCGAATCAATAGTATAACTGATAGACTAGAGCCACGGCTGGACTAAAATTAGATCTTTGGACTTTCATCACAGTTCTGTCGATACGAAGGACAAGTCCTATTTGTCGGCCTCAATTTTTGTTTAAAAGTCGATCTGATCTCAACACTAAATCATAAAAGTTGGTCACCCTGCTTATTGAAACCGAATGTACTATCATTTAAGGTGTGTCCGTTTATATATGCGACTGTTATGTTATCATCATATATATTTATCCGATTGTTGCAATCGGAGCTGTTTTTATATATTTCCGATCAAGTTGATTGTGCTGTGTTATCTCGAAAAGCAGTGTGACCGTAGCTTAAAACAGCGAGCTGTGCCCCTGCGCCAAAGTCAATTAGGCGATATAACATGAACCATTTGGCACAGTCGATGGCAGATACAATGCATAAACAGATACATAATCGGAAAGCCCCAATCAATAAACGGCATAAAAGCTACTCAGTATCTAGATGTATGTGTATAGGTCAGGTGATCTCGAGGGACTGAGAGGGTTGAGCGCGGCACATAATGTTTGTTATTGGAGTCAGTGCACCTGTTGCTGCTTCAATGACGAAGGCAGGCGCCATAAAACTAACGCATGGCACCCATGTGCTGCTATCCCACAGATACTCGACTATCTACATGTATCTGAGCGTGTTCTGTCTGTTTGTGTGTGTGTTTTCTGTTTGTTGTTTAATATGCAAAATGCGTGTAACTGCCATTTGATAGTATACAATGGAAATTCCAAAGAAATAAAGAGAAAAAATTACCCATTGCCTTATAGCTAGTTTTTGTTCTAAGCATTACAAAAATGTGCTTTGTTGTATATCTACAGAATGCGAGTATCTGTATCTGTGTAAATTACATTGGAAAATAAATACTCGCCAATTCAGTATGCGTTGCCGTATCTTAAATGAGCTGTGGGAAATGCCCGCCAAAATAATTAGTTTCACATTGAAATTGGTCAGCACGTAGCCGCATAACAGTTGAAGAATGGCTTAAGACAAAGCGAAGTCAGGTCTACAGGTACATGTACAGGTAGAAGGTAGTTCTGGGCCCGCATTAGCTTTTAGCTGAATAGGTTCTGTTTCCCTTTGCTTTTGTCTTACAGAAATATTTGTTGAGCCCACAACAAAAGGCATTTAATTAAAAACACATTTACATAGACAGAATGTCGGCGACTTTTTGGCTATGTTCTTGTTGTTGTTATTGTTTTTGGTTTTCTTTTCGGCTATTGTTTATTGTCGCCTGTTGCCAAATTGGGCCAACGAACTCGTAGTTTAATGGTTCAGTGAGTTGGGAAAACGATCTCTTTGTAGTCCAACACATGTGCCTGTCCGTAATTAATGCAATTTGCACATTTTCTATTTTTGATTTTGTGCATTAAAACAGGTTACAAATATTTTATTTTGCTTATGAGATGTTCAAATAAAATTCTAGTTCAACTTCAGTCTGCGCCTTGTATTTGGTTTCTAAGTTATATCTATTTATATACAAATTATTTCAATTTTAATTTTATCATTTTTTCTATTGTTTTTTTTTTCTTCTTTAAGAATTTGAAGCGTCGCCTTTTGGTTTATTTCTAAATTCCACAAATGTGTGTGCCATAAACTCCCTCAAGATGCCTGCCTAAGACTTCCCATTCATTAAAAGCTTTTATTTAATTTTCTATGAAATTCTATTCACAAATTCAAAAACAGAAACGCGTTTCTTTTCTTTTCTTTGGCTAATGGTTAAAATCCGTAGGAGTTTATTTACTTTTGGCAAATCACAAAAAATGACGGCACCAGAAAAAAAGTAAAATTTTTTAAATTAAAAAAAAAAATACTGACTACAATATACTCTGTTTTGGAGTGAGGAAATCTAATTGGTTACTTGTAAAATAAATTTGTGGGACTTGTAGATAGATATTTTTCAGATTTATAAGGTCGAAATTCGAATAGCTCGGCCCGGTATACCTCGCTTTTACTTATTCCGCAATACAAAGTATAAAAACAAGAAGAAACGATGTAGAAATCTAAAATGCCAAATAAAACAAAAAACAATTTACAGTGACTGACGCTGCAACATAAACTTTTGCCATATGTACGATATAGATACATATTTATGGATATTTTATTTTCGATTTTCGTCTAGTTGCGTCATTTTTCTATATCGAGAAAGATGCAAATTTGGCGCTGTTTTTTTGTTTTGTTTCGTTTAGCCATTTACATTTTCAGCTGGAGAAGAGAAAAAGTGCTCGCAGCTGACAGCATACAAAATTTCTCGCAGTTTTTGGAGGTTTTCTCATCGCATAAATGGCATGCGGTCAGTCGGTCTGAAATTAGCTGACTGTCTGGCTCGGATAAATAAATAATAATAAGCAAACTTTGATGCTGCCTTGGCAGCCATCAGCCTAATGAGCAATATCTATAATCATAGAAATAGATACAAGCTTACACACTCACACACTCACGCACAATAAACGAGGCGATGTGGAAGACCTCCCTTGAGGCAACAGCTGCCCCTATGTATATAATGTGTGTGTGCTGCACTTACCAGCACTGGTCACTTGTTTATCTTCTTAATCATTTATTATATCCAAAGGCGGAAGATACGCCACATGATTAGACTTGGTTTATCCTAATATTCCTTACTTTGGTTAGGTTACATTGAAGAAAAGTGCTATAAAATAGTAGTTCATGTTTAGTGTTGGGCAATGATGCCCCTCACTTTTCTTTAAATGCATAACACTTTACTGCAAAAAAAAAGTGAAAGGTTTTGCTCTTAAATTCCTACATTTCTTGCAGTTTCGGCAAGTAGTATTGACAGGCAGATAACTTAAATCGTTTGGTTTTATTTTTTTGAGAAACAATATTTTCCCAAGCAAATTTTCTTTACGGCTTTTCTAAACTCCGACGAGTAAAAGTGGTCAACTTTAGCAACCTGTTTCGCTGAAAATATTAGAATATAAAGATATGAAAAGATAATTTATAATATTTACAAGCATTCGATACTCTTTAATTTGCTCAACTCTTAATTCACTTATGTCATTTAAGTGCATTAAAACAACCAGCAGACTAAATATTTTCAAGTGAGAAATAGAGAGGAGGCCCATAAGGAGCTTACAATTTATAAGAGTGAAAAGCCCCTCTTACCTTCCTTAAAGTGTTCGACTATTTTCACTCACAACAGAGACCCAATCAATACACGAGCCAAAAGAAAATGCGCGCCGGAATAAGAGCATTTTTCACACTTTCCCGGGCAAATGCGACTTCTAGACATGCCAACAACGAGCAATGACCGAGCCGGCGCCTCGCTCGTAAATTCGAATATACAGATGCGTACTCAAAGAAACATACAAACTCGGAGATACATTTAGTGCCACAGACAAAAGAACCGCACAAAAGGAAAAACATAGTCGCAAATGTGCCGCGCAAAGCTTGACTTTAATTGCATTCTGCTGACGAAAGTGAAAGTCAGAAGCAGCAAATGGCAACAGATCCAAAAACAAAGCCAAATCCGCATGCGAATACGAATCCGAGCTTCCTTTAGCACAGCAGCTGATGGTCTGAATTGCGCGCAGCTGGTGGCTGCGCGAGTCGTCTATACCCTGTAACTATTATGGGTGAGATAAAAATAGAGTTTCAAAGTGTAGGAAAGTGTAAATATGGATATATTCCGAGTCTATAAAATATTAAACTTATCTATATACAATGTGTCGATCGCAGCTAGGAAAATTTCTAGAAAGAATGCTTAATATTTTTTCATTCTCAATGCTTCATAAAAGTTGTATGAAAAAAGAGTTAGTTACACGGCAAATTCGGTTTTTTGTAAATAGTCATATATTCCTAATCGATCGGAATCAAGAAATCTTTGAGCTGTCTGTAGTATATCCTTAGTGGTGCATACTTTAGCACAGTATTCCTACTTGTATTCCTTTAATTTTATTGTGTTTTTTTGGCTACCCAACCATTGTTTATGTGTCTGATTGTCTAATTGGATTCCATGGGTACGATGCAGGTCGGGCCAGTAGAGGGTTAAAGAGCATGTTAACCCAAAGGCGTTGGCCAGACAGACGCTTGCATTGCGATAGTTGTACTTGTTGTTTTCAGTGCTTACAGTGGCAAGATTAAAATGTCAAGATAAATTGCATGCGCCGTGCCACGCCTATTTTTGTAGGGGCGCAGCCCAGCTGCCAGCTACCGTCTGACAAGCGGAATTTTCTTTATTTATTTTCTTTGCTTTTCCTTTTAGCCCATTCATCATGCTGAACAAAAGTTTAACACAAACCGGGAAAATTTTACATGCCATATTAGTTTGGCATAGCCAAAGCGCATTTCCTGCCCACACATAAGCACACACACACACACACGCACACAAAACAGTGTGCCACAGAGCTGAAATGTTCACAGGTAGCAATCGCAGCTTTGTTTTGGCCACTTGAGCCTGTCGGATGGGTATCTGTTGCCTGCATCTGAGAAGCTTCTGTCTGACTAAACATCTCTAGGCACATAGATACTCTCACCTCCCCACCCCCTTCTCTCTCCCTCTCTCTGTCTCTCTTGCTCTCTTTCGCTCTGGGCTGTCTGTGTTTATTCAGCTCATTTGTTTGATTGATAGTTTGTTTACAAATTTCATTTGCTTCTTGTTAATACCTTTGTGGCATTCACCTGCGCTGCGTTTGTTCTGCTTCGTCTTTCGCTCAGCGTTTTCTTATTTCGTTTTGTTCTCAACGCCGGCGCGCCTTTTATTATGGCATATACACATATATAGAAATGAAGTACATCTAAAAGTGAGGTAGAGAAATATATAAAGATTGAGATTGATTTGATTGTTGTTGTTTGTGCAACCAAATCACGTTCACGCTTGCTTAGGATGCAAAAGGTTGAAGGCTGTAGAATCTCTATAATGCCGAGTTACACGTAATTTAAAGTTGCCAATGCTGTGTGCGTGGGCGTGGCAGGTAAATTGTTGTTCATGTTTTCGACGTGTTTAATTCTCTTTGGAGTAAAGTCGTCTGCCTTGTCACGGCCACGAATGGGACTCTGGGGACGGCAAGGGCTTTGACATTGGACGGATAAGTAAACAGTTTCTAGAGGCTTTCAAATGTGCGAAAGTAATAAATTTTGGGGAAAATAATGTGGGGACTTTAAGCATAATATTAGCTAACGAAAATGTCTAATATATAAACGATTCGGTGTACGTGCTTCAATTTATATATACTGGGGTTTAATTGAGAATATATTGCAGGTGTGGAGCAAATACATTCGGCATCTGTTTTCAATAGTTTCAATTCATATTTGATTAGAAAAGATTTATGCTACTGTTATTGCTGATTGAGCAGAAATTGCTAATATTTTTTATAAAAAAATATATTAGAAGCGGAAATTTTACAATATGTTATTCCGTTTTTATTTAATTCATGCCAATTGTTTCAGTTGCCTAACATTTATTTTATCGAGAAAGCTTTAGATAGTTATATTTACATAAAGTTGGAAGATAATGAAATATAGATAATGTGAAAGAAGCACTTAAGACAGTTGCGTCCTTGTTCTTCCTTTCCCAATGATCTTTCACTTAGAAGTTAGGTTTTCTTTTACAATCTCTTCTTATCTTATTAAATAACTATTATTATAAATAGGAACAAACAATTTTTTATACAAAACCATGGTATAGACAATGGGACTGGAACATCTAGGAAATTCCTTCCTCTGTTTGCTTCGTTCTCACTCGTTTTATGTCCAATATCTTATGCAGTGCTTGTCAACTATCAAACTATGTTCTTTATGAGATAGATCTGTATATATAGGGGAATGTTCCATTCTAATTCCTGAATTGTAGTGTATTTCTTCTGTCTGTGATAAATAAAAACATACGCTTGCTTAAAGTCACGGACATATGTATACAGATGTACTCAGGGAACATGTCATAAATTATAATAAGCTTTTTAGAAAATGTCTTGGCAACGAAATGTTTGTTGCATATGGCTCAGTGACTTTTGCTGGCTAACCGACTTAATCCGAGGCATCATCCATTATTTGCCATGGAGATTGTGCCACATGGCCAACATGCCTCCAATTAGACTTTGGCTGTCCAAAAACAATTCGCCGGCTTTATCGTTCAGAGTTCCTTCCGTTAAACGAAACGTAACGTAACGAAACGAAACGTAAATGGCAAAGGGAACAAAACAAACATTAGAACACAGCGGAAGAAAAGAAACGCAATAAATCACGGTCCGGGGACAATGGACTATGGGCCATGGCCTATGTTGTGTCTCCATTTGTTCCTGGCCCGCAACGCCTGAAAACTGCAGAAGTGTTTGCATGCCTTCCACAAATCACACGTGAGCCAGTGGCGGGTAAACAAAAATTGTGTCGTTGTCCTTGTAGTCGTCGTCCTGTCGCTGGGATTAACAAACGCCAGCACCTTCTTAACCTGTACGCCATTAGCGTAATTTGTTTTGTGTCTGCGCGTTTCCTTCGAGTGCCCTGTACCGCAGGCATGGGAAACCCGAAAAATGTTGTGCGACGAAAACAAATTCAATTTCTGAGGTTGTGGCCTGTCCTGTCTGACACTTCCTGTCGGGGGCACTTTGTGGGCTTGAGCTGCTCGGCATCATAATAATTAGCTAATGAATTTATGGTATACAGTTTCTCAACGCATCGCGCCTTTTGTACTTGTAAATTGCTGCGAGTTCCTTGCGCAGCAACACACGGTTAAATCAACCAAAAAACAAAACTCTACAATTTTCAGAGTCGCGCGATGAAGAAGCCAAAATAATTAACCAAGAATCAAAGTCAAAAGGCCAAACAGCAGAAGGGAGCGGGACAGCGCATACGCAGAACCCGTTTTCGGGTTGAAATATAAAAATAAAATTAAAAAAAAGCCATAAAAAAGACTGAGCGAACGGAAGTGAGCAATTGGTCGACAGCCATGACGACGTCGCTGCACCAGAAGCGTCCCAGCTTCAGCAACTGGTTCAGCTCGTTGCGCCGCCAGCCGAAGAGCAAGAAGAGCGGCAGCTTTGGCAGCAAGCAGCAATTGCAGCGCAGCTGCTTTGATCTGAGCACCGCCAGCGTTGCCGGAGCCACAACGCCGCCAGCCGGTGGCGTTGGTCTGCCCGGCAGTCGCAGCAGCAGCACCTTTTACATACCAGCGCTGACGACGACATCTGAGGAGGATCGGCGCCGGCTCTTGAGCAATGCCACCAGCAGCGGCAACAGCAGCAGCACCACCACCATCAGCAGCAACGTCTGTGCGCGCTGCTTCTGCAATCTGGGCAGCTTGGCAGGCAAAAAGGATTCGCCGAAAGTACAGGTGAAACCGTTGCCATCAACACCGACGCCAAGCTGCACGCCTCGCTCGCCCCGCTCGCCCTCACTTTCGCCGTTCACCAGCGTGGCCACCTACAAGGTGACCTCGCTGCGTGCCGAGAGTCCACCGCCGGCGAGTCCCACGCTGAGCACTGAGACGGTCACCTGCAGCGATGTCAGCCGCAAGGTGGAGCTGCTGCGTCTGCCCAGCGATGAGTCACATACACAGCTCTACAACAGGCGCTCGGAGCTGACCCACACAACCACTACAACAACAACGCGCACGCTGATCGTCTCGCGACCCGTCGAGCTGTTGCTCAATGAGCGGGGCGAGATCATCTCGAGGCGACCGCCGCAGGCACCACGCAAATCGCGCTCCAACTCGCTGGGCTGCATGCTAGACCCTGCCGAGGATGGCATCGATAACGTGGCACTGCAGCTGGAACCGGAGCTTGTCGACGAGGAGACAGTCAACTCGGGGCTCAGCTCACCGCTGACACCTGAGGCAGGCGATTTGCGCTTCATTGATGACAGCTCAAATTCGCAGAGCGAATCCGAGCGCAACTCGCTTAGCCACAACAACAACAGCATCTCGGACAACAACAACAGCAGCAAACAGCTTAACAACAACAACAACAACAGCAACAATAACAACAACAACCAACAGGCGAATCTGTGCGACAGTTGCCGAACGCTCATGGAGCGAAATCGCAACAATGCTGAACAGAGCAGTGTCGTCATACTGAGGCGACCGCAGGTATGAGTTAATCCAGGTGTTTGTTTGGGCATGTGCTTCTGATATTGTTTTGATGGATTTCGTAAATTATATCATAATTATTTTAAACAGAAAATGATCAAGAGATTTCAAAGCACCAGTCGGACATAATATTTAGACGAAAGAGACTATAGAAATATTCCATTATTTCACATCTCTCGCAGCTAGCACAAAGCAATTGAGCTTCAGCTCGTCTCAGGCAATTCTACTACTGAGACTTAATTACTTCAATCAAAGTATATTTTAACTAAACAATTATTCTAGTTTTGTCATTGATTTTCAAACGATTTAATTTCGTCCAATTACTTAATATTGGTTTGTATTTGACAGCACTTTGCAGAATTTACTCGTTTAGCATTCGTTGTTCTATATAAGTATAGTTTATTGAAAGTTACTAAAATCTATTTAAAAGTATGTTTTGATATGACATTACTATCGGTTTCATGCTCGACTTTGTTCCATACATTTGCATTGCATTAAAACAGGTTTCTTGATTGATTCTGTTTCGTTGGACTTCCTCGTGCCGCGTTCCCACACCTTTGACGTCGTTGTTTACCTGTCGCCTTCGTCGTTTCATTGCGAGCTATTTTTAAAGCTTGACGTTCATTAGCTTTACCTGTGCTGTGCGCTATCAATAACCCTTGTCCAGTAGTTGCTCTTTGATTAGCGATGCCGTCCCAGAACCTGTTGCCCTCTGGCGTTGCTCTGTCTCTCTCTCTCTCACGCTATTGTCCGCCTCCCTATTCGCTTCTCATTAACAATTTTCTTTTGTTTTATATAATTTTCTATGATGTCTTAAATGCTTTCTACAGCCGACGCTCCGAGAGGCGTAGCTTTGAAGCAAACACACATGTTGTGGGCACTCCTGTCGATCGTTTAACTTTATTGGAATTTTAAACATTTACATAATTCTGTTTTATCTCAGAGAGTCGGTCCACTAATTGAAAGGTTACATTTTTTTTTAATGCGCAACGGAAGCGGCATGGAATATACTCAGATATTTTAAGCATGGGAAAGGAGGTACAACTTAATAGTAAAATCTATAAAGCTGTCAAGTTTAAGCCGTGTGCCTTTCAGGAACCATCCATAAAATATGGTATAATAATTAAACGTCGAGACGTTTAGTTGTTTTTCGAGAACTTATTTCAAATCTATTGAGTTATGTTGCATTTAAATTTTATTCAGCTATAAATGTCTTTACTTTGTTTATGGACTTAAAACCTTTTACTCGTGATATTTTTTTTATTTCTGCTTACTGTGTGCGACCCTTTGGGCTTAAAATTCCCAAATGTCACCGCAACTTGAAGACTGCAAAGTCACGCGTTAAAGACCTAAAGAAATTACGCATTGAATTGATTATAAAAAAATACCCTTCACCACTCCTAACTGCAAAAAGTATCTAAAATTAGCAAATTCTCGGGGGGTCACTACGCTGTGTGAAGTTCCAATGGAATGAGCTCATCGCATAACTTCAAAACTTGACGACGAATCTGAACGATCTTGGAATTGTATTGTCCCGTCTCTCTCTCTCTCTCTCTCTCTCTCTCTTGTTGTCAATTGTTTCTCAGCGCATTTAATTGGCATTCCGCTGTCGATTTGCATATATATATAGATACATATACTTATTTGTTAGGCTGAGCAAATGAGTCAGAAGGTCATATAGGCGCAGTGCCAGGGGCTATATGTTGGGGGGCAATTGATATGTTCCGGTCTCGTGGCTCTCTCGCCAAGCCAAGCGTCAACAGGCTGACAAATAACTAGACACTTGAGTGCAGCAACTGTATCTTATATGTGCTACAGATACGACTCGCACAGATACATTTACAGCTAGTGAGCGGCCTCGTTCGTTCACTTCAATTGTATGTTTGACAAATTTGTCACGCCTCTTTGAATAGATCATATTACAGCATGAATGCTTTGATAAACTCGAGCAGCAGTTGCCTTTGTCTTGACCCCGCGTATGGACCCATGCCGTGTCAGGTACTCGGCTCTATGTGCATAATTCAATTAAATCAATTTTGCTTCTCCATTATTTTTTTAGTTTATATTTTTAGCACTTGAACAAATCACAAAAATGATTTCAAGTGAAACGAATTTTGTTCGTCCATTTGGCGCCAGTCGCCGCTTTGGATACATGCAAATGATTCGCACTTGTGAATGTGAATGCGAAATGAATACAATTGTGAATGCAGCTTAACGCCCAGTCTTGTTGAAATTTTGTGCAGAGCGTAAACACAATTTTTTTTCTCCAGCCTTTTTTTATTTATTTTTTTTTATTTTTAGCAACAATTGTCGCTGTAGTCATTTCCGCAAATTATACGAGTGTTTGCAGATGATGCATTCCCGACTATTTCATCTATTTTTATATTCACTTGTATAGCTGAAGTACCTCCAGCTGTACATACAAATACTGTGAAAGTTTCAACTTTCGATTTTATTTAATTTATTTTTTTCAATTATAGCAAATCAAAGATGAGCTGTGCGAGGTCGTTTCGGAAATGGAAGCGCTTGATGTGCCTGAAGACAAGCATTCCAATAAGGACAAACAGATGTCAATTGGACGCAAGAAGTTCAATATGGATCCCAAGAAAGGTGAGCACAAACTTTCTTAGAAAAAACTAAATATTTTACATATGTGGGTTAGGTGTATTTGAGTTAAAGACGTTCAGTTAACACAGACAACCATTTTAATTCCCTGCTGTAAAATACAGCTCTAATTAATTAAAACTTTGGTTTCTTAGACTCAAAAAATCAAAGAAAATGGAATATTTATTTGCATTTATATTTGAGCTCTAATTCCATTTTACGTAGTAAAAATTCGTTGTCCATTTTCCTCTCGTCCAACTTGAGTTTTCGATTCTCGAAAGATAAACGATGCTCCTCGATCTGCTTTGCCCATTCAAACTTCTCCATCTCCAGTTGCAATTTGCTGCCCTCCACCTGTTTCATCCATTTTAGTCGGTCGGCCTCCAGACGATGCTGCTTTCCGCGAAACTCCATTCTTTCCGTTTCTAAGCGCACTATCTTATCCATGGCCGTATCGCATTTTTTTCGTTTCTTCTTATTTACTTGCCTTGGCGCTTTTTTGACCTGATTGACTTCCAACTCGGAGCCGGAAGGCTCCAAGATGAAGCTGCCCACGTCGCTTTGGCTGAGGGAGCCATCATAATCGGTGAATTCCAAGTTATTGCCAGCATAATCCATGGGTTGCTTTATGTGTTCTGGATCCACAGGGCCCCTGCCAAGACCAAAAATGTTCATCAGCTGCTCATAATATGGACAAATTTGTTTCTTGATCGCCTCGTCGTTCTGCATAGATCCAGTCAAGTTGCCCAGGGTATTCGCCTTCCGCAGACTCATCCTCAGATAGCGCACTTTGTACTTTAGCGAATGCCAAGCACAGCTGATGCCGGTCTCATCTATCAGCTTACTATAGTAAATTCGAGCCGTAGGCTTCTAAATTATATATAACATTAATGTGGTTAGGTCAAGAAATAATGTTGAGCTATATAAAATGCTCACTTCGATATTTTTATGTAGCTCCATATAGTCGAGTAGCTTGCGGGTTTCCTCGTCGCTCCATCTTTTCGATTCCTTATCCATTTTGCGTTTTTTTAATTCTGACACTAGGAATGGCAGAAACTGATTCGATTTAAGATTCAAGAAGAAAAATCAACCCTTTGAAAAAAAATTACTTTTGACAAATTCTAATCTACGAAATAAGTAATCGATATTAATTCCCAGCTGCTTACGTCAAGTATGGCCGAATGCTTACGCAAAACAAAGTTCGATTCTCTAATAGCAATCGATACGTAAAGCGCTTTAACTTTTTAATCGAACAAAGGAAATTATTATGGTATTCCTGAAACTGAAAAAGGAAATCAAAATCAGTTTATGGTACGATTTGATTTAGATATCGTGAGCAACTGTCAGCCTGGCTGAACAGCTCCAAGCCATAAAATACCAAATTAGAGTGTAAAAACCAAGCTTCTTGATAACAAAATTAATTGTTAAGCACTTATATTCTATCGGGTAATTTGGGCGATTTTTTCTTATCCTATAATAATGTGTCATAAAAATATTTATTCGACGCATTATAAAAACATGAAATGAATATTGAAATAATAACTGAAAGTTAAATAAATTCACAAACTAGGGGACTCCTACTCTTGTTCAAGGGGAAAATATAGATATATTAAAATTGTATCCTAATTGATTGGAATTCTCGAATCAATTGGGGTGTTATTTAAGATCAAAAACGAATTTCAAGCTAAAACCACATAAAAACCACAGAATTTATTAATTATTAGTTGAGTCAGAAATTGCAATTCAACGGAAAGTAATTATATTTGACGTATAACACGTAATTATATATTGTACTTTATATGCAAGAGTAATATTTGGAGAATCTGTTTATAAACGAAAGTAATAAATTAAAGCGCAAAAGGGGAAGGGCTTTTTCAGATACATTTGTATTTTTAATAAAGGGGCAGACCCCACCGTGCTGCCAATGTTTGTTGATCGACGGGGAAATCGGGAAATATAAATGTGGGAATGATTTAAATGAAATTTCAATGACGCCAACAACAAATGAAAGGAATTGCTTTATAATTGAGCTGATATGTGTGAGGCATACGAGAAGTAGCGATCCATGAAAACCTAAAGCATGACGGCGCCAAAGAGCGAATTTGCCAGGCAAATTTACAGTGTCATATTTGGGTGGCTGGGGACGGCACGTTCGCCCAATGATCATAATTCCGACGTTAATTTAATAACGTAATGAGCCCGAAATGAGATGCTGCGAATGCCACGCGACGTCAACGCACTGCACCAGCAGCAGCAGCAGCCCCTGACAGTCTTCCTAAGTCCCGCCCCTCCCAGCAAAATCTTAAAACGCTGACAAATTTGACAGTTCGTTGACATTTGTAGTACGTGCAGCAGGGATACAACGAGTGCTTGGGCGTTTAATTTAATGGAAATGTCAATGTCGCAATATTCTTGAGTTCTGTGAAGACTTTTGAAGAGTGCCGCGCTGACAGACAGTCGGGCAAGGCCAAATATGCGGGCGGCATGGATACGAATACACAGTTGAAAATTACATTGATATGTCATGTGTATTACTTAATATATGGATATTTACTGGGTTGTTGCCCAGCTCTCCATTGAGAGCTAATAATAATTTATTCGGGACTTTCAGAAATTTCTCTCCTCACAAGACTGTAATGAGTATAAAAAGCGCACGTCGTATCAAATAGTTACTTCTGTTAAAAGTACTTGAGAATTATAAGTGTGATATAAAAATCTTGTTATAAGAAGAAGGGCCACACGACAATTGGATATGTATCGTTTTAATTCGCAAAGATGAAAAACATTTTCTGAAAATCAAATAAGACCCTGTCGCCAATGAAAATGTGTAGAAAATGGTAATTAAATGCATGTAGATACATGTCTAGTATAGTATAGTTTAATTTTGTTCCTCTATAGCCGCATATTTAGGTATTTATATTTACTCAAAAATCGCCTAGAATTTTGAACTCAGTTTTGATTTTCCCTCATCTAAATATAAGAGCACATAAATAGATATTTGTACTTGTTAACCTTCTCCATATATGTCCCAAGTGACCCACATACCCGACATGTTATTTCAGTGCCCAACCTAAGATCTTTGCTCTAGCATGCGACCTCATTCCCTGCGCCCTACGTAATTTAAGAGCTAATCAAATATTTTCATCGACCTCTTGGCCATAAATTAAAGTTGACAAGTCCAAATTGGGCCACGCATCTCTCGCCTGTCAGGGAATAGGTCCAGCAACAACAGGGCGCATCCTGCATAAAATTCCAAATGGCGGGCGGGCACAATAAAAATGCTAATCCACACTGAAGTATTTGTTATAAATGGCGCGATACGTGCGCGGAGTCAGCGACCGCCGGCTTTGACAAAACGAGAATCGAGTCCACTTCAGAAAACGAGGCGTCGACGCGCCGCTTATTAAAAACATGTGAAACAGACCCTAGTGCTGGGCGGGATGGGTGGATTGGTCTGCGATTGGTTTTGGGTTTGGGTGGATTCGGATGTTTTACAGGGCATCGTCATTTGTCGCTTTATCGGCCGATTATCAATAGCAGAGACAGACACACACCACCCCACCCACCACTCACTACATACACACGCACACACACTTAAATTAATAGCCCACAAATGTGCCATCCATAACGCACAGCGTGGATATTGGTGCCTGGATGGGGGAAACTGCCAACTTGCTGATGCTAATCGCGTGTGACAACGCCTGGCGACTCCTCCAGGCGACTCCTTTGTCATTATCGTTGTCACTTCGCATTATTGTTGTCATTGTTGTTGTTATTGCGATTATTGTTGCTGCTTTTGTTTGTTGTTCCTGTTGTTGTTGCTGTTGTTGTGGCACATATATGGATTCCCATTGCCAACAACAAACTACAAAAGCATCAATCTGAAAAGCCAATCTGTCTGCGATTGAAGGAAAAGAAATATTAAGAAAAACCGCGTGGGTTGTTCATTATGTTTATGAATGTTTTTATTTGTTACTATAATTTTTTTTTTACTTTCATATTGCGGATTTCACTCTGCAATACACAAGAGTACATTATTTTCCTTTAATAACATTTTATAACACAAGAGTTTCACCTTTCAAAAGTGAGGTTCACTTATAAAATGATTTTTTTTAGCAATGTTGAAATGTTACTCCTATAATTAACGTGAAAATGAGAGATTCCACATCTCATCTTTCAGTAGTAATTTTCTTAAAAGGATCTTATATTATGTACCTTATATGAAACATGTCCATATATATACTCGTTATGTACCATATATATACGTAGTTCTATCCCTTGCTATAGTTTTGCCCTTCTTCTTTAGTAACACATAATTTTAATGTTCTTCAGCAAAGTAAACGGCCCTTGTACTTGTCTGTTTGGCGTCACCCACGGATCGAGCAAAGCTCACGCGATTGCCAAATTTGTTGGTTGTATGTCGCACATTTCTCGATATGTGTTGTTTGCTCTTAATGCGTTTTTCTTGAATTCCTGGAGCTCGAGTTTTCTTCTTCTTTGTTGTCTTGCCTTCCGGCTTTTATCGCAAATTGCTGAGCTGCGCGGAGGGCCCGCGATTTGATTGGCAAATAATGACATCGATGTCTCGTCATTGCAGCCGCTCCCTACATTTTTGCATATTTTTTTTCCTTTATTATTTTTATTGAGATTGCTGTGGTTTATGTTGCGGGTCGCCGCGGATATATGTATGACTTATATGGGTAGATTATATGTTGTTTGGGCTGCATTTGATTTGACGCGACTTGAATTTCCGGCTGCGTTCTTATCTACCGCAGTGTCTTGTGGGGTAGAAGCTTAGCTTTACTTTATATACGATTATTTTATTATAAGACCTTAAGCAATTGCCTGTTTTTAAATATTCTTAACATTTTCAGGTATTGAGTATCTCGTAGAGAATCGACTGTTGCGTCACGATCCGCAGGATGTGGCGCATTTCCTTTACAAAGGCGAGGGACTGAACAAAACGGCAATAGGTGAGTCTCGCATTTGCAGAGTTGGCAAGCTCATAAATTGTTGTCCATAGGGCGACCCCGCATGGATAAAATTCAATTAAAACTCCATAATGCATAACATAAATTTTCATGCTCATTTCTGTTTGACTTTCCAGGCGATTACCTCGGCGAGAAAAACGATTTCAATGAGGATGTGCTAAAGGCATTTGTGGCACTGCACGATTTCACCAATCTGATACTGGTTCAGGCTCTAAGGTTGGCTTCAAACAAGCCCTCATCTAATATTAAAGTCATGATTAAACAACATTTTCTATTTTATTTAGGCAATTCCTGTGGTCATTTCGCTTACCCGGCGAGGCCCAAAAGATTGACCGCATGATGGAGACATTCGCCCAGCGCTACTGTCAACTGAATCCGGATATATTTACCAACACGGATACCTGCTATGTGCTCAGCTTTGCCATTATAATGCTCAATACATCACTGCATAATCCATCGGTAAGTTATATGCATGAGTACATTTTGCATTTGGTATTTATATCAACGATCTTAGTTATCAATCAGTCAGTCAATCATGCTCAAAAATCGATTATCAATCACTTTTAATCACAATTAATTCAGTATTTTTTAGCGTTGTAAGCGCAGTTACACTTAAACACCTTTTATTAATAATCTCAACGAAATAATGCTTCCAAAACTTTTCAAAACTTACTCTTTAAGCTTAAATAATAAATAAATCCGTTGAATGTCGCATATTAAAAAAAAATCGCGATAAAAATAATTTTTTAATCCGTTAAACTTTCAGTCTGCACGTTCTGATTACTTCACTTTTTTGTGCTTTCAATCGGGTTTAATGTTTTTAAAATGAGGCACAAAAAAGTTACGAGAATTTCTTTTTTCCTTTTTTTTGTTGGCACCAAATTACAATTCACTGTCATGGTTTGCAAACCGGAAGTGTTTGGGAACGACCGGAAGTTGTCGTTGGTGGTGGTGGTGGGCTGTATGTGTGTTGTGTGTGCCAAAACAGAAATAAAAAACTCGCGAAATGCGCGTCGCGTGGCCCAAACTGCGGAATTGAATACTTTGTCGCCTGTCAGTCGGCAATTATCGACGGTCCACACGACGCATTTCCGCATTTTGCCCATTTCCCACCACCAACTACTGTGCGTTAGAGCAATTACAAAATTGTTGTGAATAGGGCTATAAATAGGTCAAGTCTAAAGCATTTCACACGAGCTGAAATTGTTAAGTGCCAACTAATTGGCCTGTGGCATCTTGAAAATGATCTCAACAGCGCGAGCGGCACATAAAACTGTTCCCTAATTAGTTACTATTTTGCAATCTGGCTGCTGCATGTTATTTAATTTAATTTTTTTTTTATTGTAGGTCAAAGACAAACCCACCGTTGAGCAATTCATCTCGATGAATCGTGGCATCAACAACGGCGGCGATTTGCCTCGTGGTCTGCTTGAGTCGCTGTACGAGTCCATACGCACAGAGCCCTTCAAGATACCTCAAGACGATGGCAACGATCTAATGCACACCTTTTTCAATCCCGACAAGGAGGGCTGGCTGTGGAAGCAGGGCGGCAGGTAAATACCATACATCGGCTCAAATTTTGCAGCAAGCTTTAATTAATGCAATTCCTCAAACAGATACAAATCGTGGAAGCGACGCTGGTTTATACTGAACGACAATTGCCTGTATTATTTCGAATATACCACAGATAAGGAGCCGCGCGGCATAATACCGCTGGAGAATATTTCGGTGCGCGAGATACAGGATCGCAGCAAGCCGCATTGCTTTGAGCTGTTTGCCACCGGCGGCGCCGATATCATCAAGGCATGCAAGACTGATTCCGAGGGCAAGGTGAGCAAATCTTTTGCATTTTACCCAACTCAGAAACTGATTAGCTTCTCTATCTGCAGGTGGTGGAGGGCAAGCACACGGTGTATCGAATGTCTGCCGCAACGGAGGAGGATCAACAGGAATGGATCAAGCGCCTGACGCAGTCCATCAGCCATAATCCGTTCTATGATATTCTGGTACAAAGGAAAAAGAAGGCGCTCAGCAAGAGTTAGTATTAGATCGGCGCTAGACGGGCCTGCCCCCGATGGGCGTCACTCTTGTATTGGATCTCAGTGGAATATTGCTGCGTGCGTTCGCGTCTATGTGTTTGTGTGTGGCTTTGCCTACAATAATCTCGCTCTTTGCGTATAGTACGTGTGCGTCTTAGTGTGTGTGTGTGTGTGCTTGTGTATGTATATGTATGTGTGCTATTAAACTCCAAATGTTGTACTATGCCCAACGTTTTGTATATAAGTATCGTATATATATATTTAATTCAATTTGTAGTCCGATACGTTTGCCTTTGTTATTTGATCTAGACTCGAAAGAGACACACACAAGCCCAACTCGCACAAACACACACACTCTCATTCACACACCCATCTTTGTCTCTATTGTTGTGATATAACTTATTTACATTAAGCAAAATTTAAAAAAAAAAGGAAGCAAATATAAAATGTTTAATCGAATGAAATACAATTTTCAATTAGTGCAAATTATGTTATAATAAGTCTACGAATATGTCTTCAAATTAGCATTAGTATCTGCGAGTTGCCCTCACATACCACCCGTATAATTTACTAGCTTTAGTGCTATGAAACATATCCCAGCCGCCTGCTAAAAAATAATTTTGCTTGGCAATTATTATAAACTATTATCAAAAAGAAAAAATCAAAGGCCTTTTAAAAACTTTATTTCAAACAACGAAGAAAAAATTTTAAAAATTGTTGAAAAAAAACGGTGTAAAAGACTAGAAAATTAACATGGACAATACAAACATGCATTTCACTTATTGAAATATGCCAGCTAATAGGTTATATCGATAGAGTTTAAGCTCAGTTCCAATGTGTCATTAGGTAATGCTGAACTACAAATAGTGCAAGTAAACCAAAAATAATAAGAACAAGCCGGTGCCAAGAGGCCAACGACTGAGTAGAGTTTCGTTCTTTGTTGTAACATATTTCGAAATGTTTTGTATTGTATTGTGTTTTGTTAATTTGATTAGTTAGAAACGAACCAACCACAAAGTGTTCCTGCCAAAAATGAGAAGATCAAACTTTTAATTGTAATCAATTAAAGATGCAACTGTTTATAAAATAACCAATTTAATTGTACATTCTATATAAACCAATAAGCTTCAGAGTATGCAACAACTTTGGTATATCTGTGTATTTATGATGCGCATGCTCAATCTCCAGAAATCTGTAGCTACTTTTTGATAAAAATTTGTTTGAACACTCTGTTCTATACAAAAACATTTTGTTTTCAATATCATTTAGTGTGCTTATGAAAATTTGAAGGGTCGCAGTTGTAATAGCTCAAAGAAAAGCAAAACAATTAATGAAATGAGAGTCCCGAAAACTTTTTGCAATATTATTAATAAACTGTACGAGTAACAACTATACTATTATATGTAATATATCAAAATATTCTGTAATCATACCTATTAACATTTATAACACATTCATAATTCTCTGCACCACTCATACTATATTTCTTTAGTCTAGCACGGAATAAATAAATAAGCAGGAGAATGATTGTCTGTACTATATATAAATACACACTTATATATATATATATATGAAATTATGTGCGTTTTAGCATTGTGAAAGTAATTCATTTATGAGCGTGTACATATATATATATATATTCAAATTTTGTACATACATATTCAGTGCGAATATAGATACATTACCTTTTCTAAGTATGCCCGTAGGTGTTATAACTCGTAGCTTAAACAAGAATTTTTGTATTGCTTTAGCAGTAAACAAATTATACCTATATAAACTATAAATATATACGTATTCATAAAAACAAATCAAAAATCAAATTGTATAAAAGGATTCTTATAGAAGTCAACGTTACTATTAACTGGCTGTGGAAATCTATGGAATTGAGTTAAAGTAAATGAACTTCGCTCCTACACATTTAAACCGCTGTGGATCCTCCGGACATCTTTAAAGTGAGTTCAAAACGGATCGGATGATGGATATAATAGTTTTAAACAAAAGTTTTCCATGAATTTTGCAGAGTTAGTGGAATGTTCCAAAACCCCATCGCAGTGTGCAGGTAACTACAGTAAAAATTTTAGGTTTCTATACAGAAACTATATTTTCTATAAACGGTCGTACATAACATTTGTCTTTGGAGATACTATAATTAAATGATAATTTAAGGTGTATTCCTCCAGTTTTACCTGCTATGTTAGCTAACCTTTATATGACAGGATGAAAATGCCTAACAATTTACTTAGCATACCTATATTCAGAGTTCCGGGGATATAATAGCCTTACACTTATCATCAGTTATTATATTGTATTGAACAAGTTATATAAACGTCCGCGACGTCTGCTCAATTGAAGTGAATCGACAAGTACTATTCAAGTAAGCCGTGAGTTGGGTGGACATTTGCGTAATCTTAAAACCCAATACTAATTATATGGAACAAATGAAAACCTAAGACATGGGTCTTATTATTGGGATTATTGTGTAGAAAGTTGAACAAAAGTCTTTCTGAATCGAAGACCTGGACCCAAAAACTATACTCGAAATGAGCATTATATTGACGTTGTGCCATCTAAATCCACGTATAGTATGAACGATCAGGGCTGTAAATTTAAATTTCATTTCTATGAACTCAACGATAATCCCCATTAGGGCGAAATTTGTAGACCCCATAGGCAATTAAATAATTAACAGTTTTCAAGGCATTGATTTTATTATTCTTACAGTTTTATTTCATCATATTACCTTGGCTTCACATATATAATTAAATGAAATGTCACAAAGTGCGTCGTTGAGAGCAGTTATTTTGAGCTCCACACATTTTTCTAGCATATTGTTTGGCTCCTTCTCCATCCACTTCAAAAAGGGCATTGGCTCACCAGTGGAGATAGAAATCCATTCCCTGTTCTTCCCCAGGCAGTTTGCAGATGTCCAGTATCGGGAAGTGGGGACTACCGCTAATATAGCATCCATTTCCGCACTGGTCTCAAAGTTGATCAAATGTCCTCCCAGTTTTCGGCAATTGTGGGCGGCCTGATGCCAGTTGGTCTTTAAATTTTCCTCAACATGGTAAAACTTGTTGCCAATTTGAAGGGGAAAGTTAGTCGTGGTGCCAGCCATCGGTTTCACGTTTAGAACTAATATTAAATAAGTTATAATATTTGGCAATTATATATATTATATTCAACTAAAACGTTTACCCGTCCGATTTGATACATCTAGTTGGGAAAAGTCATTGACTACAAATGAAATCCGAAAGAAATTAAACTTGGAACTAGAATCTCGAGATAATACTTACCCGTCGTCGAATTTGGCATTGCAGAGTGCCAACATTGGAAAAGAAATAGTAAAAACACGAGCTTACTTGCCATTTTGATTTCATTAGTTCGACTAATAACTGCTGTGCAATGACTAACGTATTTATACCTTTCGATTTTGCCCGCTTTGTGACATTATCAGACGAAAGTTACAATTTGTTAATTGCATAGTATAAACATTTTAGTATGTTGGCATTTCCTTGTTTCGGAAGCAGACTTATATATTATGTATTATCTTGAAAGCATAAGTACTTGGCTCTTATACTTCATATAGGCTTTTTTATATAAAGAATATTTTTTAAAAATACTTTTACAAAATGCTTAAAATATTTTTGTCAGTGACGTTATTAAAAAGGAAGGTATAAATGTGAAGTCCGGGAAGCTATGCCCCTTGTCATAACTGGGCGTGGTCAGTGAGTCTCCGAAGCTATACAAAAAGCAAAGGTTTTTTAATAAGGTGGTGGGTGGTAAGTTTTGTGGAGAAAACGTGGTACGAGCTATTGGTATTTATGCACGAAAAGAAAAAAAGATAAAAGCATATCGTATAAATAAATAAAGGGCGATAATTCCTGATGATAATAATTATAATATTGGTTAATGATGGCTAAACAATTTGATTAGGACACTTCGAACAAAACAGTATTTAAAAAATGTCAATCTCCATTCAAATATTTTTCATTATTAAGTTATTTATTGTTAAAATTTATAAATTCATTTAATAATATTTTTTCTTTATTTTTTGATTGACTAATTTACATTCATCTTCCTAATTATAATGGAATTCTTTTATCCCATCGCCTCTCAAAAGCATTAACCTTAGTTTCAATTCTCTTTCAAAGAAATTTTCTAGAATAGACGGCAAGTGACATCTCGTCAATATTTCCGTTTCAGGGGTGAAGGTACTTACCCTCATTCTTCGTCAATCAACAACCGGAACTTTGAGCTTTTATTGAGCACTAGCGATTGATTATTGAGGTATTTTTTCGGTCAGTACTTTCATTGGTTTTGTAAAATGTATTACCTTGATTAAATTGAATAATAATCAATTGGCAAGTTTATTGTGAGAAATTTGCACGCTCTTATCATTTTTTTTTTTTCCTCAAACAGATACAAATCGTGGAAGCGACGCTGGTTTATACTGAACGACAATTGCCTGTATTATTTCGAATATACCACAGATAAGGAGCCGCGCGGCATAATACCGCTGGAGAATATTTCGGTGCGCGAGATACAGGATCGCAGCAAGCCGCATTGCTTTGAGCTGTTTGCCACCGGCGGCGCCGATATCATCAAGGCATGCAAGACTGATTCCGAGGGCAAGGTGAGCAAATCTTTTGCATTTTACCCAACTCAGAAACTGATTAGCTTCTCTATCTGCAGGTGGTGGAGGGCAAGCACACGGTGTATCGAATGTCTGCCGCAACGGAGGAGGATCAACAGGAATGGATCAAGCGCCTGACGCAGTCCATCAGCCATAATCCGTTCTATGATATTCTGGTACAAAGGAAAAAGAAGGCGCTCAGCAAGAGTTAGTATTAGATCGGCGCTAGACGGGCCTGCCCCCGATGGGCGTCACTCTTGTATTGGATCTCAGTGGAATATTGCTGCGTGCGTTCGCGTCTATGTGTTTGTGTGTGGCTTTGCCTACAATAATCTCGCTCTTTGCGTATAGTACGTGTGCGTCTTAGTGTGTGTGTGTGTGTGCTTGTGTATGTATATGTATGTGTGCTATTAAACTCCAAATGTTGTACTATGCCCAACGTTTTGTATATAAGTATCGTATATATATATTTAATTCAATTTGTAGTCCGATACGTTTGCCTTTGTTATTTGATCTAGACTCGAAAGAGACACACACAAGCCCAACTCGCACAAACACACACACTCTCATTCACACACCCATCTTTGTCTCTATTGTTGTGATATAACTTATTTACATTAAGCAAAATTTAAAAAAAAAAGGAAGCAAATATAAAATGTTTAATCGAATGAAATACAATTTTCAATTAGTGCAAATTATGTTATAATAAGTCTACGAATATGTCTTCAAATTAGCATTAGTATCTGCGAGTTGCCCTCACATACCACCCGTATAATTTACTAGCTTTAGTGCTATGAAACATATCCCAGCCGCCTGCTAAAAAATAATTTTGCTTGGCAATTATTATAAACTATTATCAAAAAGAAAAAATCAAAGGCCTTTTAAAAACTTTATTTCAAACAACGAAGAAAAAATTTTAAAAATTGTTGAAAAAAAACGGTGTAAAAGACTAGAAAATTAACATGGACAATACAAACATGCATTTCACTTATTGAAATATGCCAGCTAATAGGTTATATCGATAGAGTTTAAGCTCAGTTCCAATGTGTCATTAGGTAATGCTGAACTACAAATAGTGCAAGTAAACCAAAAATAATAAGAACAAGCCGGTGCCAAGAGGCCAACGACTGAGTAGAGTTTCGTTCTTTGTTGTAACATATTTCGAAATGTTTTGTATTGTATTGTGTTTTGTTAATTTGATTAGTTAGAAACGAACCAACCACAAAGTGTTCCTGCCAAAAATGAGAAGATCAAACTTTTAATTGTAATCAATTAAAGATGCAACTGTTTATAAAATAACCAATTTAATTGTACATTCTATATAAACCAATAAGCTTCAGAGTATGCAACAACTTTGGTATATCTGTGTATTTATGATGCGCATGCTCAATCTCCAGAAATCTGTAGCTACTTTTTGATAAAAATTTGTTTGAACACTCTGTTCTATACAAAAACATTTTGTTTTCAATATCATTTAGTGTGCTTATGAAAATTTGAAGGGTCGCAGTTGTAATAGCTCAAAGAAAAGCAAAACAATTAATGAAATGAGAGTCCCGAAAACTTTTTGCAATATTATTAATAAACTGTACGAGTAACAACTATACTATTATATGTAATATATCAAAATATTCTGTAATCATACCTATTAACATTTATAACACATTCATAATTCTCTGCACCACTCATACTATATTTCTTTAGTCTAGCACGGAATAAATAAATAAGCAGGAGAATGATTGTCTGTACTATATATAAATACACACTTATATATATATATATATGAAATTATGTGCGTTTTAGCATTGTGAAAGTAATTCATTTATGAGCGTGTACATATATATATATATATTCAAATTTTGTACATACATATTCAGTGCGAATATAGATACATTACCTTTTCTAAGTATGCCCGTAGGTGTTATAACTCGTAGCTTAAACAAGAATTTTTGTATTGCTTTAGCAGTAAACAAATTATACCTATATAAACTATAAATATATACGTATTCATAAAAACAAATCAAAAATCAAATTGTATAAAAGGATTCTTATAGAAGTCAACGTTACTATTAACTGGCTGTGGAAATCTATGGAATTGAGTTAAAGTAAATGAACTTCGCTCCTACACATTTAAACCGCTGTGGATCCTCCGGACATCTTTAAAGTGAGTTCAAAACGGATCGGATGATGGATATAATAGTTTTAAACAAAAGTTTTCCATGAATTTTGCAGAGTTAGTGGAATGTTCCAAAACCCCATCGCAGTGTGCAGGTAACTACAGTAAAAATTTTAGGTTTCTATACAGAAACTATATTTTCTATAAACGGTCGTACATAACATTTGTCTTTGGAGATACTATAATTAAATGATAATTTAAGGTGTATTCCTCCAGTTTTACCTGCTATGTTAGCTAACCTTTATATGACAGGATGAAAATGCCTAACAATTTACTTAGCATACCTATATTCAGAGTTCCGGGGATATAATAGCCTTACACTTATCATCAGTTATTATATTGTATTGAACAAGTTATATAAACGTCCGCGACGTCTGCTCAATTGAAGTGAATCGACAAGTACTATTCAAGTAAGCCGTGAGTTGGGTGGACATTTGCGTAATCTTAAAACCCAATACTAATTATATGGAACAAATGAAAACCTAAGACATGGGTCTTATTATTGGGATTATTGTGTAGAAAGTTGAACAAAAGTCTTTCTGAATCGAAGACCTGGACCCAAAAACTATACTCGAAATGAGCATTATATTGACGTTGTGCCATCTAAATCCACGTATAGTATGAACGATCAGGGCTGTAAATTTAAATTTCATTTCTATGAACTCAACGATAATCCCCATTAGGGCGAAATTTGTAGACCCCATAGGCAATTAAATAATTAACAGTTTTCAAGGCATTGATTTTATTATTCTTACAGTTTTATTTCATCATATTACCTTGGCTTCACATATATAATTAAATGAAATGTCACAAAGTGCGTCGTTGAGAGCAGTTATTTTGAGCTCCACACATTTTTCTAGCATATTGTTTGGCTCCTTCTCCATCCACTTCAAAAAGGGCATTGGCTCACCAGTGGAGATAGAAATCCATTCCCTGTTCTTCCCCAGGCAGTTTGCAGATGTCCAGTATCGGGAAGTGGGGACTACCGCTAATATAGCATCCATTTCCGCACTGGTCTCAAAGTTGATCAAATGTCCTCCCAGTTTTCGGCAATTGTGGGCGGCCTGATGCCAGTTGGTCTTTAAATTTTCCTCAACATGGTAAAACTTGTTGCCAATTTGAAGGGGAAAGTTAGTCGTGGTGCCAGCCATCGGTTTCACGTTTAGAACTAATATTAAATAAGTTATAATATTTGGCAATTATATATATTATATTCAACTAAAACGTTTACCCGTCCGATTTGATACATCTAGTTGGGAAAAGTCATTGACTACAAATGAAATCCGAAAGAAATTAAACTTGGAACTAGAATCTCGAGATAATACTTACCCGTCGTCGAATTTGGCATTGCAGAGTGCCAACATTGGAAAAGAAATAGTAAAAACACGAGCTTACTTGCCATTTTGATTTCATTAGTTCGACTAATAACTGCTGTGCAATGACTAACGTATTTATACCTTTCGATTTTGCCCGCTTTGTGACATTATCAGACGAAAGTTACAATTTGTTAATTGCATAGTATAAACATTTTAGTATGTTGGCATTTCCTTGTTTCGGAAGCAGACTTATATATTATGTATTATCTTGAAAGCATAAGTACTTGGCTCTTATACTTCATATAGGCTTTTTTATATAAAGAATATTTTTTAAAAATACTTTTACAAAATGCTTAAAATATTTTTGTCAGTGACGTTATTAAAAAGGAAGGTATAAATGTGAAGTCCGGGAAGCTATGCCCCTTGTCATAACTGGGCGTGGTCAGTGAGTCTCCGAAGCTATACAAAAAGCAAAGGTTTTTTAATAAGGTGGTGGGTGGTAAGTTTTGTGGAGAAAACGTGGTACGAGCTATTGGTATTTATGCACGAAAAGAAAAAAAGATAAAAGCATATCGTATAAATAAATAAAGGGCGATAATTCCTGATGATAATAATTATAATATTGGTTAATGATGGCTAAACAATTTGATTAGGACACTTCGAACAAAACAGTATTTAAAAAATGTCAATCTCCATTCAAATATTTTTCATTATTAAGTTATTTATTGTTAAAATTTATAAATTCATTTAATAATATTTTTTCTTTATTTTTTGATTGACTAATTTACATTCATCTTCCTAATTATAATGGAATTCTTTTATCCCATCGCCTCTCAAAAGCATTAACCTTAGTTTCAATTCTCTTTCAAAGAAATTTTCTAGAATAGACGGCAAGTGACATCTCGTCAATATTTCCGTTTCAGGGGTGAAGGTACTTACCCTCATTCTTCGTCAATCAACAACCGGAACTTTGAGCTTTTATTGAGCACTAGCGATTGATTATTGAGGTATTTTTTCGGTCAGTACTTTCATTGGTTTTGTAAAATGTATTACCTTGATTAAATTGAATAATAATCAATTGGCAAGTTTATTGTGAGAAATTTGCACGCTCTTATCATTTTTTTTTTTTTGGTTTTTGATAATTTCGTGGACAATGGACAAAAGTGTATAAATACATAAAATTGCTCAAAAGAGCACTTAGAACTAATATAGCAGGCAAAATGGATGGCAAATTGATTTTCTTGCTATTTTCTATGCAACTATGGCACTTCAGCATTTCAAGTGAAATACGTGAGCATCTTTAAGCAATTTTAAAATTGCAAACAATCATAATAAAATATACCTTTGTTTTTAGCTGATGTTTTGGTGCATTCAAGTGAATTAGGAAAATGCGTTAGCAGCTGCAAGGATTTCCCAATCAAAATTGGCAATAAACTGTACCACATCGAGTCCAAATTGAAGGTGAACTGGTTTCAGGCAGCGGAGAATTGTCGCAAGTGGGGCGGACATTTGCTTAACATAGAGAACAGTATTGAAATGGACGTGATAGTGTCCATTGTGCCCGCTAATCGTTTCTGGACATCCGCAAACTGCTTGGCCGAGCCTGGAAACTTTATTTCGATAGCAACCGGAGAGGCCATGCCTTACTATAGATGGAAGGCTGGGCTACCGGACAATGAGTCTGGAAATGAATACTGTGCCGAAGTTGCCGCAGGCGGCCTGAATGATGAAGTTTGTGAAACCCTCCTGAATTATGTGTGCCAGGCGAACATCCTATAAGAATGCTAATTTACAATTAATATGAATATTATTCTTTTTAACGTGTTTTTTTTTTACTGGGATTCTTGAGCGCTTTAATGCAGTGCTCAGAATTCAAGAACTGATTACCAATTGGCATCCAGGGTTTTTCCCCTTATATTTTTGATAGCTGTACCATAAAGATAGTCCGTGTCTGCCAGTTAAGTAAGGTCCGACAATGGCAAGAAACACATTTTTTGGACTCGTACGAAGTTCGACTCTTGATTGGCATTCAAAACAAAAATGCAAATATACATTTTGGCCAAACTTAAACAAAAATTCAACCACAATTTTGCCAAGAATCGGGTTGGTTTTGATATATTAGAACACCTCAGGTAAAGCAGTGCCAAAGATAGCTAGATACTTGTAGCCTATAAGATTTTTTTCAACAAATTCTTATTTTTATTTATCAATATTGTTAATCCCTGTCTTCTCCACCTGCAACAGAAGTTCCTGCAACTTGTTGTCGAACAACTCGCAGCGTATAGGCATCTCCAGCGAATAGAACGGATTTTTTAGCACATAATCTGAATACAGCTCGTAGACTTTGCGCAGCAGCAGATCCATGCCGTTCAGGCCCGTTTCCGAGATCACGATGAACTTGACGCCGGTGAGCGTTTGGAAGCAATGCAACGTGAAGGTGTCCGCTTCCAACAGCTCAATGCCGGAGCTCTTGGGCTCTGGGCTCAGTTGGCTGGCAATGGCAAACAGTGGATAGAACATGCTCGCGAGAAAGATTTTCTCGTTCGTTGTCATTTTGGGCCGGCTAAACTTTAGGTTGATCGGAAAGTTGTCGGGCGACTCCAGCGTCGTTTTCACGTCCCGTCCATCCTCCAGTGTGGCGCCGTTGACTGGCATGCCATTGACGGCGACGAGCACATGTCCCACTGCAAATCAAAATTTATAGTGAGGCTTGACGGAGAGTGCAAAAGAAAAGGCAACGCCTACCATTGATGCCATCTTTGCGGTTAAACGATACGGAAACTTTCTTGGGGTCGTAGTCGAGCACCAAGTCCAGCGGGTAAGTGAATGTCTTTTCGTGCTCTATTCGAGGCACGTTATTGTCCAGGTTGAATATGAGGCCACCGGATTTGCTTACTATGTAGACGCCGTAAATAATCATTTCTGCTTTTTTCGAGAAGTCGTCAGCTGATTGTAAGACAACAAACTAAACTACATTTTGCTAAACTGTTAATAACATTGAACAGCGATACACTGAAAGAAAACAACTTGCTTAGAAAACATTTTTAGTTGACAAAAATTGACGAAATGCATATTAGGTAACCGCTTTCTTTGAAACTAATTCGACACACTAAATAGAATAACAAGATGCTAATTGACTTTAAAGTTTAAACCAATGCCATTACATAGCCCTAACATAGCCATAGCAGAGCCCTAGCTAAACACAGCTGTTTTAACCAGTGTTGCGGCAGCCACAAAAGTGCTCTTCAACACTCGTGCCTTGCTAACACGACTAATCGATATTTTTGTCACGGTCATCGATTGTATTCCAGCTGACACAGCTGGTTCTTAGCACAGCTACGCGTATATATGTATTTTTAGAATTAAAAATATTGCTATATACATAATTAGCATTAAAAATAAACATTGATTTTTTCCCAAAATATAATCTGAGCTGCAATAACGCGAATTTAACTGAAACAACGCTCTCCCTGGTTGTGACACATAAAGTGGCTTAATAATGGGCTCCGACGACCTCAGCGCAGGGGATAAAATCCAAAAGGGTTTCCAGATCAACTACATGATACTGCGTGATGCGGACACCGGCAAGGTAATCTGGCAGGAGAACAAGGACTTTTCTGCCCCAGATGTCGAGCACGAGGCGCGGGTACCCGTCAAGATTCTGGACATGCGCGCCGTATCGCGCGAGATCAATTTTAGCACGATTGAGGCAATGGAAAACTTTCGGCTCGACCAAAAAGTGCTCTTTAAGGGACGCATCATGGAGGAATGGTTCTTCGAGATGGGCTTCGTGGGCGCCAACACCACCAACACATGGCAGAGCACCATCGAGGCAGCACCCGAGTCCCAAATGATGCCTGCAAAAGTCTTAAATGGCAATGTGACAATTCAAACCAGTTTCTATGACAACGAAACACTCATCACAAAATCGGTTGTGCGCTTATATTACATATAAGCTGTGTGGGCGCCACACCAACGCACGGACACACACACAAACACCCACACACACCCACAAAATCTCCCACTGTCAGGTGTTCGTCATATATATTGATCTGCTGCGGCTGCGGCTGCGGCGGGTGTGTTCATTCTTCTGCATTGCCGCAACGAGAAATAGTTCATGAAATGTTCTCAATTTAAATCGTATCAGCTTGCCAATGAATTGTTATTTCTGGATAAGATGCAGGGCCATTTATTTGGGCATTTCTATGCAATTATTTTTTCTGCGTTTTTTAAGCTAGTGAAAACCATCATACATACATACATATAATGAAACTAGACTAATGCATTTTAATATCTAATTATTATTTAAAATGATTGTTTAACTTATTAATAAAGTATTAACGAATGTAATACAAATATGTACAAATACCTTGAGCCCAACCGATGTTCCTACTTTTATCTGTGTTATATTTATTTAATACGACCTCCGTTGACCTGTGAGCAAAAGCAAATTAAGGTCGTTATTTAGGCTTATTTTATATACATATACTCGTATCTATTTACATATTCGTATCTATTTATCTGTGACAGTGAGTAACTGCAAATGGGTCAAGAATTAGTTTGATATTATTGTTTTACTTTCAAAACGAAGCATAATCTTGACTTGAGAGAGACTCTAAGCGTGCGTCCCTTAGGGCAAACGAGTTTTACTATTCTTAAATATTCATAATCAGAATTCGCAAAAATGGAATTTGATCGAACAGATTAGGAAGCTTCGTGGCCATCGAATCGTTAACAGCGACTTGACCCCATTTCGTTCGAGCACCCATCAAAAATAGAACCGCCGCCAGGTGCCCGGTTAAGAGACACTTAATTATGATGCCGCAGACTGGAGAATCGACGCGAAAGTCTTCTTTTTGAGTAGCTAACCAACCTGGCCAACAGTTGAACTTGGACGCGTAGCGGCAACGGGTCAAATTATGGCAAATCCACGCAGCATTATTTTGCTGCTATTTGTGGCACTCCTCGTGCTGGTAGCCATCAGCGGCGTTTCGGCGCAGAAGAATAAGAAGCAACAGCAGCAGCGGCCCAATCCAGGCAACCAAGCGGCAAATTCGAACAGGCGCCCAAAACCCCAACAGCAGGGACAGCGACCCCAAAAGCAAAAGCCGAATCAACCACAGCAAAATCCCAAGGTGTTTACCACGACGCTGCCGTCGCTGGGCAAGATACGGGGTCGCACCTTGGTCACCGAATGGACTGGCCAGAAAGTTATGCAGTTTCTAGATATCCCGTATGGCAAAGCCGAGCGTTTTAAGGTAAGATTTCCCTCAAGCTAATACTTTTAATCCTTCAAATCAGCGTAAATATGTATATGTTATACAAAACATCGGCCGTAGAATTCCTCAAATTCTCCACATAACGTTTCTCTAAACAATAATTTATAATTTAAAATAGTATAAAAAGATAGGAAAAAATTATGAGAGGATTATGCTTATTTTATTAATTTATATTAATCTTTTAAAGGCGGCAGAACCGACGGCGCCTTGGAAAGGCATCCTGCAAGCACATCGTCATCACGCCGGCTGCCCCTCTATTCAGGATTTGGTAAAATTTGCCAAGCTGGAGGAGAACGGTTATGACGTCGAGGACTGTCTGCGTCTTACAGTGAACACCAAATCTGTAGGTTTATAACTGATATTTCTGTAACAAATTTAAATAACATGTTTTATATACAAAAGCTGGAGGGTAAACAAGCTCCTGTCATGGTCTATGTCCATGGAGACTTCTTCTATGACGGCGACACTGTGGAAGCCGCACCCGGCTATCTGCTTGAGCGCGATGTGGTCTTAGTGTCAGTGCGCTATCGTCTTGGACCCTTTGGCTTCCTTTCCACACTGAGCGAGGAAATGCCCGGCAACGCGGCTGTGACGGATCTTATTTTGGCCCTGAAATGGATAAATGAACACATTGCCGCTTTTGGCGGAGATCCACAGAGAGTGACACTCTTCGGCCAGGTGGGCGGAGCGGCGCTCATTAATGTCCTCACGTTGAGCCCGGCCGTGCCGGCGAACCTGTTCCATCGTGTCATCTATCAGTCCGGCACAGCGCTCTCGCCGGCCTTCATCACGGATTCGCCTTTGACAGCGACCAAGGAAATAGCACGCATCGCCGGTTGCAAGCAGCTGACCAAAACGGACTCCCTGCACAAGTGCTTCAATCGTATGAATGCCACCATGCTGCTGGCTGCCTTCAGTGTGCATGGCGAGAGGAAGCCTTCGGTTAGCGCCGGTGCATACGGAGGCGTACAACTGGTCATAGGCGGCCCCTCTGGCATTCTGCCAGAGCATCCGGGTCGACTGCTTGCCGCCGAAAAGTTCGAGGCCTATCCCACCTTGGGTGGCAGTGTCAAGCACGGCGGCACCTTCATGATGAGAGGTATGCAATTGCGTGTTAAGCTGGATTCCCTACTTGATATGTAGGCTCTCCTAATTAGTCTATAGCCCTTATTACTCATATTCATTCAGTTAACAACAATAGAACAAATCTCTTCTTCGTAGATCTATTTGTGGAGAGCTTCAACGAGAGCACATCGGACCCTCAGATGACAGGGGCAAAGTACATTGATACAATTATTGAACAGATTAATGGCGCCGATCCGACGAGCTCTTGGCGGGAGTTCGCCGACGAGTATATCTTTAGTGAGGAGGACATTCGGAACGGCAGCTTTAAGCGCCTTACACCGGGTCTAATTGATGTGAGTAGCCCTGAATATTTAATGCTCTGTAATACGTTTAATACAATTAAATTCATTGCTTAGCTCTGTAGCACTATTGCGCTGAAGAACCCTGTGCTCTTGGTCCTCCAGGCCAATGCCAAGAAGCTGGCCAATAGCACCTATTTGTACACCTTTGACTATGAGGGGGAGTTGAACCGTTATGCCACCGGCGAGGATGAGGCTATCGATGTGCCCTTCGACATGGGTGTCAGTCTGACCGACGAAAATCTGTACCTATTTCCCTGGCCGCGCATCAATATGCTCAATTCCAACAGCGATGTCAAGATAGCCAAGCGCATGGTGGCCCTTTGGACCTCATTCGCAGCTGATGGTGTTCCCAGGGCAGAGGGCTTGCCCGCGTGGTCCCCCATGAACGATGAAACTGGACCATACATGCATATCGGACGTACAGTCACATTTGGGGACAATTACTTGGACGAATACAGCATTGCGGTGCAGGAGGTTAAGCAGGGTTATAACCTGGTCAACGATGATTACTACGAACTGGAGGCCGTCCTACGCGATGCCATTAATAAGCAGGAACAGCCGGCCGAATCCGATACAGACGAGGATGAGGACGAGGAACAGGAAGAAGCGAACGATGACCCAGCAGCCACCGAGGCGCGTGGCCAAAACTTGGTTTTCATTGCCAGAAAATCGGCACGTATTCAACACTAGGTCCAATTAATGAGATGAAAGTGAGCTTTGGTGCATTTAAAAATTGATTTATTTTTTGAGACTTAATAAACATTTTGTAGAATATAAAACTATCCTTAATAATGGCAGATCTTTTCGCCTAGTTATATACAATATAAGTGGACTTTCCCAAGCTAATTTGACAAGTGATCCAACTCGGTCGACTTCTGTCTATAACAATTTAAAAATAGCCCCTGTTATCAGACGTTTTAAAATTGATTTATTATCAAAAAACATTATACTATATACTGGGCATATTCGTGACCCATACTGCATCATTAGGACTATCTGGCAGACTGGGCATTGTTCGGTTTTCTATTTTGAGTCAAGCATACATTTGAAAAAATAAATGAATAAATATTATATGACTTTCGCAAGAGGAATAACATTGTATTATATGCAGTACTCATACATTATTATCACTGTTTTCCATAAATTATCAGAAATGTATGTAGGAATGATTCTAAAAGCTTTATATAGATGCATTGTATTCAATTATTCACATTCTGTGCAAGAATAATTTTCAGCGAAGCACAGTTCAGTCCGTTCGATTTCAAATCAGACATCGGATTGCAGTTCCCCAGCTTTGTTTTACAATGGAATATTTCTTATTGGGCATTTTAATATTCATATCGATAGGATCCTTCAACTATGCGGTATGTAGCATAGTAAACCTAAAAAGATTTTTAATTAAGTAAATGTCACAAGCTTACAGCAAGAAACAACACCCTTAGAGGTATCTAAGAACCAGTGCGATGGGTCCTGCATCCAGTTCTTAAAGTCATTGCTGGACAACGTAGGCGCCATGCAGAAACTTTGGAAAGTATGTGATATAAGCAAGCTGACGAATATCCAATCCAGACTTGATAAAATTGAGGATCAGATGGTGACGCAAGAGGAAAACTCTGCCAGCTTTTCAAAAGCAATCGAGGAAACTAAGCAGAAACTGTTGGAGCAAAGCAAGTTGATCGACAAAAAAAAACACAGTTTTCTAAAGCCGTTTCAGAAAATCGGATCCAAATATTATTATATTGAGAAACAACAGAAAACCAATTGGTTTGGAGCGGTACACAGATGTAGCGAGTTCGGCGGCCATTTGATCAGTTTAGATAGCCAGAGTGAACTGGATGCAATAATTCCCCATTTGGATGCCAAACGATTTTATTGGATTGATGTAAATAACCTCAGCGAGAAGGGGGTGTACCGCTCCCTAACAACTGGCGTGAGGTCAACATTTTTGAATTGGAAGCGCAACGAGCCCAATAATGCCCGTGGTAAGGAAAATTGCGTCCATTTGCAGGACTCTAATTTTGTAATGAATGACCATATATGCGGCGATCTTTTTTATTTTATTTGCGAGTCATTCAATGAATAAGCAATGAGTTATACATTTTTTTAATAAGCGTGCAATCAGCGGCAATGGATTTATATAGTTTGTTAAGCAATATCACTCTATTTTGGCCTGAAGGTTTTTCAACTTAATCCGAATGATCTGTGATGCAAACGAGCCTTGGCTACAGTAAAGAAAATTCGATACTATCCAGCCGCTTCGAAAGAAGCATTTAATATTTCAATTAATCACGCCTGTCCCGATCCATTTGTTTCATGCCAATGAATAATATAATAATGAATAATAATATAATATTTATTTATGTTAATTTTTATTCCTTAAAACGGTTTTATTTCTTATAAGCAATACTAGTGAGTAGTAAACTAATTCCTCTGGTTGACTTGGCACTAAAAGCGTATCTTGTTTCGATTTGGACGCCTTACGAGACTTTTCCGCACTTCAACTTTCTTGAGCTTGCTTGTGGCAGCTGTTGCTGCTGCTTGCCTCCTGCGCTGTGCCTGGCCCAGATCTTTGCGGCGTGCGCGGTTACGCAAATAATAGATCTCACGTATGAGACTGTGGCCCTCTTCCTCGTCTCTCAGTGTAGCTGAAAACTCATTGAAGTAATTGCCGCCAATAGTAAGCGTCTCGTCGATCTTCATGTAGGGACCGTAGAGCGTTGTCATGGGTGGCCAGTACCCGGATCGATATGAGCCCAGCGGATTGCCGGTAATTACAAAGTTTGTCCATAAGTCAACCATGCGATGTGCCATTGACATATCGGGAGGACTCAGGCGCTTGACATGGTCGGGATAGGGGAACAGGTAAAGTGCCTCATCGGTGAGCGAGACGCCCGCCTTAAAGGGACTCTGCATGTTCGTCTCCTCGTCCATATCGCGGTATCGATTGAACTCGCCCGCATATTCAAAGGAGTAAAGGAACGTGTTGTCCGGATTGTGTTTGTTGTTCATGTTAAGAGCCAGCAGTACCGGCAGCTTGTGGTTTAAAGTGCCCGCCACCTGAAAGACATATCTGTTTGGAATATGTGTTTTTTCATATGTGAAATTCTTACTTACATCAATTAGCCGGGGTATTAGGGTGTCGAAAGTGCCGTTCTCCAGCAGGTGGCGATTAAAGAAGTCATGGGTGACAAAGCTGGTCAGCAGCATGGTCTTGTCGGTGCCCACCACCTGGCGTATAACGTGATCGATATAGTTGTAGGTATTGTATTCATCATCTGGTATCTTTCCCTCAAAGTCGTTTTCCACAATCTCATTCAGCACACGTGTGCCTGCGTTCTTGGGACATCCGCCCATTGCAGGATAGGAAAAGTTGGAATCCAGCATGAGATCATAGGGATGCTTGGGTAGCACGCCGCTGGGCCCACCGATTGTGAATTGTATGCCCCCAGTATGACCAATGCCCAGATCTGATTTCTCAAGCTAACAAAATAACACAGTGAGCTTGAGAAGTCTGAGAGTAACTCTTAGTTCCACTTACCGCATGGTCCATGAATGCATTCAGCAGCTCCAAAGCACTAAGCTCCATTAGGCATTTATTGAGATCTCGCACGGTTACCATCTGGCAGTCGGCTTTTTCGGCAATTTCCTGCGCATGCTTGCGCGGATTGTCCTCCAGGAAGATGGGCATGATGGCTGAGCCGGAGTGATAAATCACTTGACTGAACAGGCCACGCTGCACCATCGGGGAGAGTGTGAGCAGATGCGCTATGGCTGCGCCACCCACCTGCCCGGCCACCGTAATGCGACTTGCATCGCCCCCAAAATACTTAATGAAGTGCTTGACGAATTGCAGGGCCAAGAATATATCGAGGAAGCCGGCATTGCCGGGTATCTCATCGGTTTTGGTCGATAAAAAACCAAATGGTCCCAGGCGATACTGCGGCGTCACCAACACCAGATCCTTTTCCAGCAGATAGTCGGGCGGCGCTTCCGAGTTGCTGCCCTCATAGAGGTACTCCCCGTGAATGTAGACCAGTACGGGCAGTCTCCCAGTCACATTCGGCGTGGTTATGCTCATCGTCAGGCAGTCCTCGACGTCCAGCACGTCGTCCAGCTTTTGCAATGCGTCCATCGAAACAACAGACGGACAGCCGATCTTCTCCGCCGTCGCATCCATCACATCTTCCCAGGGCTCAATGGGACGCGGTGGCTGATATAGAACCAAACCATACGGGTTTTATGATTAATGGATTTATGACATCAATAATCTTTGCGTAAATTGGTGAACGAAATTGATTGCCTTCCTAATCAAGTGAGCTTTCGTCGCTGCGGGCAAACTTAACGATTCGCGCCTCTCAGAGGTATTACGAGTATATTAGCTTTGATTAGGTCTTAGCCCACATAAATATTTATGAACTCGGCGAACCTATTCTTGATTGCTGTGTGGTTATAAATGGTTAATTTAGCAAAAGGTGAAATGTACGCGGGCAGTAAAAGTTATGAAAAGTAGTCGTTTGGCTGACAGAAGGAAAAAGCTGATTCAACCTAATATTAACGTACGCCAAGTCTAATATATGCACAGCAGAGAAATTTTAAATGAACATATCTATATTGCTCGAATAGCAGATACCCTTTATTCAAGTCTGTTATAGGTCCAGTTAGGACAAAAGCTTTTTGGATATCTACTGTGTAAATCACAATGACGACAGTTCAAAATATGCATGTATGCAAAATGTCATCCGAATTAAGGTCATAAAGTTTTGAAAAAGAGGTGGTTGGTTGCTGATCGGAACTGATGAAGTGGTATACACAATGTCTCTTTTTGCCAGTTGCTTTCATTAACTCTCTAAATTTATCAGCTGAGCTGAGCCTCTTGAGCCACATACCTTGAAACGATGTTGTCCAGTCGGTGGCTCGGCATATCTAACATCGACAAACTGCAACACTTCGCGCTTGGTCCAAGCGGTCTCCACTATTTTACCCTGTATAGAGCCCAATTTGGGCAGCTCCACAATGGTATCCTTTTCCTCGTCATATTGCTTGCCGCGCACCCGCCCCTCGGCGCGGATCGCGCCCAGTGCGCAAACTGCGAGCACAATCGAAAATTGCATTTGGCAGCCTGAAAAGCACTCCGGAACGGCAAATGACCCTGGCCAAGATGCGACAGCACTCGTATAAGCACGGAACTCAACTGAACTTTGCCAGAAGATGGCGATTAGATTTTAGTCTTGGCCAGAGTAAAAGTTTCACCCCGACTCCGCATACTTAGTGGTTCGCGAGACTCTTGCGAATAGTGCCAAGAAGAAGAAGGCGAAGTAGAAATTGGAAGATCCAAAACGAAATGCTCACCTACGTCGCTGCTGCTGTCCCATTATTATTCTTTTTGTATTTTCATGTGTGTTACTAATTAACTATGGACTTCTTTGTTTGCTCCGGTATCTGGTGCGGTGTTGATAAACGCCAAACAAAAGTAAAAGGGAAAATCGACAGCAATTCGCTAATAGCAGCCATCAGGAGGTCACTTATAATTATAAGCTGAACCAATTTGGCTGGTTGATCTTCAATTTGGTCATCGGCCCTCAGCTGGGCCACGCTGTGGCCCCATGGGCTCATACTTATTTCAGGCAACACACACAATTAATATTTGCTGGCAAATATCATGGGGGTTTCCATTAAGGCATTGCTTTGCCCGTTTGTTTGTTATTCTCTCAACGAAAGTCGGCGCCTCGCATCGGATTGATTAGGTTCAATTATACTTTCAACGCTGCGGGCCAAAGACAATGGCATTTAAATTTTAGATTTTTAAATTGAATTTTTCAAGCCGCCAATGCTGCTACTGGTTTTTCGGATTAATATTTTAGGTGCTTGCATTAAAATTATTCATTCGATGCGGTGGGTGAAAGTATTTACCTTGCTTTACGGTTCACAAATAGAAATGACCTGGCTGGGCGCCCCCATTTATGCTGAAAAATATCGGCCAAGACTTCGGGTCAATACCCCTGGAGAGCTTCACTGGACAAAGTTTGTAATCACATATGCATAATATTTTAACATAAATTAGGTATCTATAGGAAGGTGATAACTTAATAACTTCAAAGCCACATCAGCATACATTAATCATCGCATTCTGTCAAATGTGAATACAGGAGGTATCTTATAGAGTACGGTATTTGTGCTTTTGTGCTCTGTTAAATATATGGCATAAGCAAGGGAAAATACAATTTTAACGAATTTCAAATTACTGGAAAGTTAATCAGTAATTACTATTAACTCTCATACTACCGACCAAGCGTTGGAAAAAATATTTAACTCTTAATTGTAACGAAATAGTCACAAAATTCATTAAATAAAAAGTTGAAAAACCACACATTAAACTTAAAACGAGAAAGAAAGTTTTTCTTCGGCACGCCGAAGATCTAATACCCTTGCAGTCCCAACCTTTTCATAATGCTTATAGTGCTTTGCCCGTATCTAAGAAGCGCAAGGAAAATAGTTAATGCCGAGTTTGGGAAAGATAAGATCTTGATAAACGAAAATGGGTTTTATTTTGTTTAAGCACGGCATTCAAAGATTTCACTATTCTTCCTTTATTTTTGCAAAATCTTATTTACATCGGACTACTATCTCATATAGCTGCCATAGGAACGATCAGTCAAAAATTAATTGGTTGCATGAAAAAACATTTTGTTTTTCAAGATATCTTGACCGAACTCAGCAATTATACTATACTAATATATATGCAAAATCCTATTAGGACCACTTAATCATATAGCTGACATAGGAACGATCGGTCGAAAATTAAGTTGTTTAGGTTAAAAAGGTGAAAATCTAAATTTTGACCCAAATCGTCAAAACGTCAAGGGGTTACATCACTTTTTTTTTTCAAAATTGGCGTCCGTTCGAAAATCGAATCTTTTTGATGATTTTTTTGAATAGCTCGGGTAAATATTGTCTGATTTTTAAATGTCATACCTTTTTTATTCGTACGGATTCCTACTGGCATTCAAACAAATTACAAATCGGTCGGTTCAAAAAAGTTGTTGACCAAAAACCGATTCGTTTGTAAAGTACACCTTTTTGACGATTTTTTTGAGTATCTCGGCCAAATAATGTCCGATTACATCACGTTTTGTCTACTTTTTGAACGACGACTCTTTTTTAACATATTCAATATTATTTATTTCAGGTCAATACAGTCACATCTGGACAAAAGGGAGGACAGAAGGAATAATGCTGGAAAAGACCAGACAAAGCTTACTTGGGCAACGCCGGATAATACCCGCTAAGTGTAGATACATAAAATAAAAACTAAATATTCAAATGTTGAAAACATATATTTTTT